CTAGTTTGATTCAGAGAAAGAAGGAGAGAAAAGTGGCTGGGGGTAATTCTGATTCTATCCCCAAAGAATAGCCAATGACTTAAAAACCAACCAGCAATAAAAAAAATTAGTATTTCCATCTTTCAGCAGATCAAAAAGAAATCAATATTAGCAAAAATAGGAAAAGGTTGAAAATATTAACTTACCTTAAAAGTAAGCTCTCCCTGGAAGCCTCCTGCAACCATAATATTGTCCTTGACTGCAAGCGTGCTTATTTGAGTTTCTGTAAAACCTTCTAATAAACTTCCAGGATGTTTCTAGTTACAGGGCAATAGAAGTTAGCAGATAAAAGCAGAACATACCTACTACAATTACTAACTATCCCCCAAATCACTCAGGCTGATAAGTAAAAGATAAGAAGCAATAAGGCTAATAAGTAGAACTGTAATACCTCGGTAGGTGCCACGTGCCCAGAAAAATTAAGGATCTCAGACAGATTGCATGACAATGATGACCAATGCATAACTGAAGAATTTGACATAAGATAAACATCATGCTTTGAAGTAGCCCAAACCAAGTTTCTGAGCTGCAAATTCATTCCACAACATGTTATTTAAGCTCAAGTAACAAGTGTGTAGATACACTTTCTATAAAAAATACAAATCCGATGAATACTTTTCCAAACTAAAGACACCAAATATATATAACACAATAATGAGATTCTGTTACTGAAATTTCAATATACAGAAAAATGTGTATTTTTCCCAAATAATGTAGTGTAACAAACCTTCAGAAACAGAATATAGCGCAATAGACACTTATCCACACTAGAGATACCAGAAATATTTCATACCACAATAATGGCATTCTATTGCTGAAATTTAAGTGTGCAGGAAAAATGAGCTCCCACCTTTTTCTCTATTGGGAAATTTTCTCTCTATGATACAAGAGTCTTAAAAAGGATATGGGGTCAGCAATGTGATGTAATATGGTTTGAAGGATAGTTTTTACCGATATTTGAGAGATTAAGACAATCAAGCAAAATGATATATCAAATGAAGGGTATTGGTCCTTAGTGTCACCTGAAACTTCAAAGCAACCAAACAGAAACAGAAATGACATCTGAAATCATTTCAGAATAAAGTTGTGGGGTAATAAAGTTTTTATTGTAAATGTAGGATTATGGTTTAAAAGTGTTAATGTATATACCAATGAACAACCATGCGAACAGCAAGAAATTAGTATTCTGGACAAAATGTTGGTAGTTAATTGACAATCATTCCCAAGGAGTGTGAAAAGTACTTCTAGTAGTGATTGTACAACTTAGATGGGACTATAATTGCAATTGCAGATGATATATATATATATATATATATATAGATATATAATATATATATAGATATATAATATATATGTAGTCTTCATATCAGTGTCCTTATACATCACACCTATTGTTGAATGTGGACACAACTACATAAAAGAATATAATAGCAGGAAAACTATAATTGATTGATTAGTAGAAAGTGAGCGAGCATATTAACAGTCTTCAATATTCTAGTTGAATAAGAATTTAAATCTTGAACTTAAACAGTAAAACTCGTACCAACTGCTAGCAAGATTGAAACACTATTTGACAAACCTAAAATGCCTCTTAATTCAGGATCACTAAATAAGCTTTACAACTTACTAGGATAGAGAAAGATGCAAATTTAAAAATCAATTCCAACAACTAAAGGCATTATGATATGTCAATATTAGCAAATTTAAACTTATCCCTCAATCAGAAAAGCAAAGCTTAAAACTTAAATAGAATCATCATTTGGAAGTTTGAACACTATTAAGAACAGAAACATGCGTACATGCATCTACATAAGTGTGTAAGCAGACTAATAAACGAACACACCCCCCCCCCCACCAACTAAGCCTTCAATGTTTTGGGTACAAGAATCCTTTAAATAAACAATGTATGGACAAGGAAATGTATATATGGGACTTCTGATAACAGTATTTTTTAAATATTCCACTTTGTCTACTGAATTTCAATAATCATAGCACATATTAAACTTCTAAGCCAAATCTAGGTGTTCTTATTGCAGAACTACTACAAAGTACAATGACAAAAGTAGTGTGGGTGTACAGGAGGAAGGAAAAAGACACCTAAAAGTTGATGAAACGAACACCTATGCACATGCACACACAGACATGAAGTTGCAGGTTCAAAAGCATAACTATCACCAATCAAATCCATACATGAGAAATAACACTAATGAATAACAAATTCAATACCAAAGAAGGAAATCAAGTATCTTTACAATTGCCGGTGCATACAACTGAACCAAGCAATGTAATGAGAAAGGTAGTCATTAAATGATCAAATACATTAAAGCTATATCATTATCAACATCTTCAAAAAGCAACTATAAAATGAGAATAAAAAAAGAAATAAAACACTCTATGACTAACAAACCTGAAAATGGAGGATTGTAGGCTTAACCAATCTAGCGTTGTGGAAGAATTCATAGTAGTTCCCACCCTTTTCCATCTGTTTGCATTCCTGAAACAACAAATACCAATTACCATGAAGATTAACATGCTATTCTCTTTAAGATAAACCAGTTCATTTAGAGATGGTAGGAGAAGAAACAAACCTTATCAACAGCTTCACCGGAGGACGGGATATTCTCATAATTCTTATATTGTTCAAGCCTTGTCAATCTATATTTTTCCCTAGTTATGTTCAATCTTTCCCACGGAATCCCCTGTATGTCCTTTCCCTTCCGAGCTTGTGCAGAAGATGTATCAGTCACCTTGGTCAGCTGCTCAAATTATAAGTTGAAAGTGATGAATTCCATCATTCAATTATAAAATGAATTAAAAGTAACAAAAAATATATAATTAAAAAAAAAAAAAGGAGAAACAAACCATGTCATATTCATCAGCATCCATGTCTCCACCAGCTCGATCGTAGTTATCTTCATCCATGTCATCAACGAAATCTTCAGCCATGTAATAGAAATTATCTACTTGCTGGTAGGACATGCTATATCTGCATTCAACAACAAAATCACCCAATTATTACTACTATCTTTCTTTTCCTACATTTTCTTTTATACAAAAATGAAAATAAAAATTATTTTTGAAACCCTAAAGATTAAATATGCCAATTGGAGCCAAAGGTTATTCCTATAATTCATAGAAAGACACTTACTTCCAAACAAACCAAAAACAAGTAAAATATTACCTACCTTTCTTTTCCTTTTATTAAAACGCAAAAAAAAAAAAAAAAAACAAGTTAAATCCCTAAAAAGAAATGGATTTGGAGCTAAAGGGTATTCCTAGAATTGACAAAAGAAACTCATTTTCAAACAAACCGACCTAACCAAAAAAAAAACCCAAAATATGATAAAATCATATCTAACATAAAATTCAACATAAAAAACAATAATTAAAAAAAAACCCAAAATCCTTAAAACCCATAAACAAAGAGGAATATTTATGCAAATATTTCTATTTTCTAACACTAAAAAATTAAAAAAAAAAAAAAGCAGAACACAAAAATTGAATTATCTCCAAGAAAACAAAAAAGGAAAGGAGAGATGGGTATTCTTACATGAAATTTCGTCTGGTTTTTGGAGGCTTTGGCCTTTGGGTGATTTGTTGATTTATTCTATTTATATATAAATTTAGATTAAAATGGAAAGGAGTGTGGATTTCATTTTTAATTTTTTATTTGTACGTAGAGATAATAATGAAAAGAGTTTTTGGGGTTACGGTATTGTCGGCGAAAACCGTCTTTTAATCGATGGCCTATCGCACGCAAACACTGAAAGCACCCTGTTTTTGTGTGTGTGTGTGGTTTCTTTTTTCTTTTTTTTTTTTATACTTTTTATTTTTATTATTAAAATAGGATAACTAAAAAGGAATTTTATTTATGAAATAGTTTTTGATATATTATTAAAATAATTTTTTAATTTTACAAACAAAATTAATAAATTAATAAATTTTTATTTTAAAAATTTTTAAATATATTTTAAAAAATACATCATGTTATTAATTTTATTTGTAAAATTTAAAAATTTTGTTGATAATGAATAAAATAATTTATTTTTATTTATATATTTTACCATGGATTATCAAGAATTAAAAAGGTCTCAGTTGATCATCTTGATGTTAAAATTTAAGATCTTAACTTAATAATTTTGAATTTAGATATATTTTTATAAAATCATAATTTAATAGAAATATAATTACTGAAATTTTAATTTTTTATTTATTTAATATTATTTTTAAAAATAACTATTAAAATTAATTAAATTAAATTTAAAATAATAAAACAAAATGTACTACAAATACTTAGCAAGGGACGAAGAGAAGGAGAACAAAAAAAATGGAGGAGAATTTAGGGAAAAAAAAAGGGGAAAAGCATAGATGGGAGAAGAGGATGGGGCCTACGTGAGAGGGGATGGTAGTGGGAGAAAAGAAACAACCTAAAATCACATATTAAAAAATATTATTATTTTCTATATTAACCATTCATGTGGTCCCTCTTTTTATTTTTATTTTTTATTTTATAAAAATTTATTTTTATATATCAATTATGAAAAAGTTTAAATCACATGCCAACCAATCAAATAAGAGGAGGAATTCTCTTTTTTTTTTTTTTAATCACCCATGATTCATTAAACTTAAACAATACTTGAAAGTTACCCTAATCACATTATAAAAAAATTTAAAATAGATTTAAAGAATTAATAAATATTAGTAAAATCTAATATTTTTAATATGTTATTTTGTTATATTTTTAAATTTTTAAATTTTAACACATGTAACATTTTTTTCTATGATTAAGTTGCAAATATAAAAAAAAAAAGGTTTTTCTATGTTCATAAATCTCATTTCTTTTTCCATTGTAAAATTTAAACCAAAATTAAATATTAAAAGTTAGTGTTTGGGATGTTCAATTAAGATTGCTTCTTGCTTTTATTGTATTCTTTTTTTTTTTTTTGAGAAATGTTCCATTGTATTCTATTGAATCAGCTCTATTGTGAAATTGGAAATGTCTAAAAAAAAAAGATTTTATTAATTCCATTCACCTCTTTCTTTTTGGCTAGCCATATAGTTTGTCTATGTGCTGAAAATAACAACAGTAATTTGTCCAAAGTATGTCAGCACTAATTGGACAGCTCAACTTTCTTATCTGCAATAATCTTTTCTAGAAATATTGAATCAACTTTTGATTATGGCCAAAGCATAAAAATGAAAATGTAATTTACATTTTATTTTCACACAAACATTTATCATTACCAAGGTTCTAAATCTCCACCATCATCACCAAGATTCTTATTGTAAGCAGAGGGAACATTAGCAGTCCAAAACCCTGCATTTCCTCCATTAGCATACAACTGACGACTCTCATTATCATCATCATTAGAATCATAATCAAGGTCTGAATCTTCGGAATTAAACAAATTCTCGAATCCATCATCATAATCACCATATTCAATATTATCATTGTTATCGTAGTCACCAACAATGGCACCATCATCATAATCAGCATCTTCAACCTTATCGTTGTTATGGCAGTCACCAACAATGGCACCGTTAATTCTAGCTTTTCTCCTCTCACGTCTTATCCTTTTTCCTTCTGCAACTAAAGCCATCAGTTTATTTCTTATCACTATACTTTCATCTTTCTCTAAAAGTACACCATTGTCATCAAACCCCTCTACTAAGAAAACAGAATCCCTCAACCCTTTCAAACTCACATAGAACAACTCCGGGTGTCTCACAATCATTGCCCTCAACTTATTTGGTAGCCCAAACTCTTTCCTGAAATGTGTCAAGTGGTCTATTAATGTCCTCTTCTCAACCATCATCCCCAACACCTCTCTCACCACTCCACAGGCTCTTTTCTCAGCCTCCACGGATGACTTTGCAAAGTCTTCCAAAGACGTATTATAGGGACAAACATCGGGCAATTCATTAAACTTCATCAAAAAGTCACGGTGACGTCTCTTTAAATTCAACCCTTTCCGAAGTGTCAGTTGCTTAAACTTCAAAGGCCTATCTACAATCAACTCACAATTCTTTAGAGGAGACTTTAATGGAACAGCCAACTCAGGATCCCAATTCACAAGCTCAAGTGCCCGACCATACGAGGTATCTACAGTCTTAAACTTATCGGGATGATCATTACAAAGACGGGACCTAAAATTCGGAGATAACCCAAGATGTGGACCAAGGTGAACAAGCTTAGACAAAAGAAGCCGGCGATGAGAAGAAAGCATGAGAAGTTTCTGTAACTTGTTTGCCAAGAAACCCGACATAGCTGACTTAAGATTCAATTCTTGCATAGCAAGAGATTGAGCAGCCGGGGTTAAACGAACACAAAGTTGGTATCCTGATTTCGTAGCGTTAAGAGGAGTAGGCGGCATGGGGATAGTAAAGAGCTCGAAAATCGTGGGGTAACGATATATCATCGAGAGAATGGAACGGGGCTTGTGGATAGAAAGGTAAGCACGGCATTTGGAGAGAATATGGATTGGAATGAAGTGTTTTGGTTTGGAAAGTAACAAAGTTTTCAGCTTTTGGATGAAACGGATTTTGTTTTGTTTTACTACATGTCTGTCTAGTGAAGGACTACGAACAACTTTGATAGAAGAACATGAAACTGAAATTGATAAATTTTGGGGCTTATGACAAATGTTTTGAAAGCGTTTTTTCGTTTTTCTAAGGGTAATGGAAGATGGGCTTGATGATGGGAGAAAGTTGGAGCTGAGGAAATTGTCGCTGTGGCAAACGACAGAGAGCAACATGGTCGATCTATAAACTTTATCAGGATGCTGCTGCTGGTAAGTTGAAGTAAAGGCTATTGCAGAACAAGTGAAACTCGTTCAGGCATAAAATCAAACATGTTATGAGCACTATCGTTGGCTCGTAGAGGAAATCTCATATAGAAATATTTTATCAGACAATATGGTAAATCAACACTGGGGAAAAGAAAGTGAAAGCAAATTAGAACAAGATGACATGAAAATGGTTCAGCTCTGAGAAAGGTGAAGAAATTTTGTAAGAGGAAAACAAAGAAAAACAAAAGAAAGTGAAAAGTGGGTACTGGAAGGCAAACTCGGAAGTAGGAAAGCTACTTGGTTTTAGGCGCTTTGGGTAATTATTCCATAGTGTAATGAGGGAAACATAATGAAAAGTTGGTCATTAAAAAAGTAAAATTGAAGCATAGGTGTATTGATAGACATATTTGTAGGTAAGGGAGTTCATTAGTATCCTTTTCTCCTTTTTTTTTTTTTTTTCCCTTCCAATATAATAATTTTGAATTAAATAATTTAAAATTAAATTAATTGAATTATATTATATTATTTTTATTTATCTTATTGAATTTATTAATTTCAAAATTTTAATGGACTAAACTAATTCTATTAATTTGGTCAATTTTTGAATTAATCAAATAACAAATAAATTTAAGTTGAATCAAATTTTAAATTTTAAATTTTAAATTTTAAATTTCTTATATCTGAAATAAATTAAATAAAATTATTTAACAAAATATTAAATCAAAAACTCTAACAACTTATAAAATAAAATAATACATTTCATGTATTTTTAATTTTACATATAAATTTTGTTATATTTTGATTAATTTTATTTTCAAATAAATTTAATAAAAAATAAAAAAATTTTAAAAATTATTTTCGATAACCAATCAAATTTAATTCAATAATTGATCAATTTGCTAAATTTTGAACACTTGTATTTAAATAAAACAATTATGTAGAACTTTGTCAATCAGTACACTTGGGCTTTATTTCAATGTACCAACTTTTCATAATGTTGCCCTCATTGTACTTTGGAATAATTAACCCTTTCTTTTATTTTTATTGTGAATTAGGCCTATATATATATATATATATATCTTTGTTATAAAAAGATTTTTTAGTTGCACTTTAACATGAAATAATAATTTTGAGATTTTTTATCACATGACTTTGGGATGGATCCATTATTATGATTATGATTATTATTATCATTATATATGAAAATTATCTCATACATGAATCATTCCATCAGTGAGAAATTAAAAAAAAGATTGAAGTGAATCCATCAATTTAAATAGAATTACTAAAAATTAAGAGGAGGGAAAACGAGGAATTTCTTCAGAATTTTTTTTCCACAAAAGTATTTGAAAATTTCATTTATGTATAAATTACAATATCACAAACTGCAGTCAAATAGTGCAATGTTGCCACAAATGGATTACATATTTGCCAAAAACACCCTACAAAATCTGTCATTGCTCCAAAATTTTGGATAAAGAATTGACAGATTCCCTCTGTGACATCTTGCAGAACATTCAGGTAAGTTATTATGAGCTTGATTACACCATTCAACCTTTCTTTTCAAAGCCTTTAATTAGATTGAAGCTGTCCCAGTCCATCATGCATTCTTATCCCAGGAGCAAAGATATCCCATTGTTCTGTAGGAATTTAGAAGTTTCATCAACTAACATCATATTCAACTCGGATGGCCTGTTGCCTACAGGAAAAAATAGAAGTTCATAGCTTTATTGAACCTGAAAACAGCAGCAGTTGCAGAAATCAAAATTTCTTTTGTTTTGGTGTGTAACACTGTTATCTCATACACAATAATTCTGAGATGGTAATAAGGCTCTATGGCCGCTTTCCTAGCATGCTGATGATTATAACTTCTTAATGCATTTACATAAAATCATGCTCAACTTGGCTGTTGAGAAAAAAGTACTCCAAGCACAGAAAATAAATTACTTGATTCAAATTTTTTTAAAATAATAAATATTAATTAAAAACTTGATTGCTAGTTTTAATTGCATCATCTAACGAGGGAGAATGACCTTTCCCTTTCTTAAGATAAAAATATTAAATGGACTTCAGAAGTTAAGGTAAAAATATACATATGGGGCTCCTTCATCTCTTGTCATATTTAAACTAGTTCTAACTTGTATGTTATCCCTTGACTAAAATTTCAACTCTCTCTCCTGCTTTCTGAAGACCTTGATACAACAATAATCATACAAATCAGGATGTTCACTCGAAAGCAAAGTCTGTACTCAAAGCAGATGAAAATTTCTAAATCCATAGCCAACTTGTCAAAATAATAACCACTAAGTCCCAAAAGACCCTTTATTTCTTTGTCAGCCATCACCATGGAAGCTTGCAAATTTATGTAACAACATTTGGGGTTATTCAGAAGGGAAAATCAAAGGTACAATGTGGCAATATTTCAAACTGAAAAACTTGCCAGCGGGTAAAAACATGAAAAGTTATTTACATATTTAACCAAATGTTTACTAGAAGAGTATTAAGCCAAAAATATGGAGATGAGGACAACTCAAACAATGTGTGAAACACATGTTTTTAAAACACCTTTTTTACCAATATAATAGTTATTAACAAATAAGCAGTCAGAACAAGTATTTCTACAATACGTTTCATCTTTTATGAAAACTATCACTTTTATATGTTTGTAAATGAATTCACCCAGTGTTCATCATATTCTTAACTGTATCTGGGAGAAGATTTGGTGACCCAATCGAATGTTTTACATTTATTAATAACTTTTTATAACATAAATTCAGTTTGGAGTGTTTTCATAATAAACTATGATGATGGATTCTTGTTGAAAAAGGACTTCATCTGAACCACAGATCCAGAAAATTGTCATGTGATCTGATCTTTCTGATCATATCAGACAACAACACAGAAATTGGTATCAGATCATATCAGGACAATGACGAGACAAAATAAGACAGGATTATGAAGCTGTCACATATGATATTTTTCTTTTGAATGGGAAGCCCAAAATGTAAAAGAAATGAAGTAGATAATTGCAAGAAATCATTTGATGTTGAAATCTACTGCAGATAGTCATTGTGTAAGGAACTTACACAGTCAATATCTTTCCAAAAGGCAATGTATATTCTGAGGGTTACTGCTATGCTTATCAGCACTACCTATCTTTCCTCCCTTTTTACCCTTTCCCCTCTTACCGTCTCAAAGGAATAAGATACTTTAGCGAACCCAATACATAAGAAGAGTAATTAACTGAAACTAGAAATATCCAACATTCTCTTATAAACATAACCTAGATCAATCTAGGATATCCTAGATATAAAGAAATAGATTTCAAAATTAAATGCTTTAGAAAGATTTCGGAATACAATTAGCATACTCACAGTTATTGTAAATTATAGCAGAAAATGTACGTACCTCTAATTTTGATAATCACTTTAACTAATGTTCCATGACTTGGATATGCATTCACCAAACTTTATCTTTGGTGATCTACTCTTTTTGCTTGACAAATTGTCATTACTGGCTTCATCATCATCTTTTATATCCTCAACATGTGCCATCAGTCTACTACTTTCAACCACCTCATTAGCAACGTTTATTGGGTTACATCTAATTCTATAGATATCCTCCAAAGTACACAGCTTTGCTCTTGCTAATATATCCAACATTGACCGTTTCTTTTGTCTCCCTTTATGTTTTCTTCGCTTATGTCTCAACCTCTTGGGGCAAGGTGAATTGATTCTCCGATAAACATTGAGGTAAGAGCTTTGCACTGAACTTGATTGTCGACTTACTGGAACTATGGCATTGGAAGTGTAATCAGTACTTAAGTTGCTTTCATCTTTATGCTTACAGCTATTATCCAGATGAGATTTAAGGCATTCAAGGCAGGGGGCTTTTGATAGCACCTCATTATAGTAAGAATTACTCTCATCTTTGATCAATTTCTCCTGCACAATGATATCTCTCACTTTATTTTCAAAGAAAACATTCTCTTTATCTTGTTGAGAGCCTACAGTTCCGATTGTTGTTTGAGTAGCTGAATTACATGGTTCAAAGGGTGGCAACACATTGCTAATACCATACTTCAGACAGATTTGCAAGTACTTCTCTGGAAATGGCCAACAATGAAAGATATCTTTTCTCCTGGTATCAACAACAAACTGTCTGGATAGCAAAAGGTTGTATAGGACTGAGATGCTAATCTCTTCAATATAGAAAGAAAAAACCCCACATTTTATTATTAAATTCTTAATTAAATCTTTTGTCATTCACTGGCATTGAGGGCAAAAAAACAAAAAAAAATCATTTTACAAAATATGGGAAAAAAAATAAGAAAGAAGCAAAAGTGCAAATCACATGCAAAAGTTTGAACAATACACGGATGCAAAATATAAAACCCCAAGCATGGAATATAGAAGAACCATAGATGATAGAACAGAGTTCGTCAGCAATTGAGAAAAGTTTTCAAATTTAATCAAGATTTGTAGTCCAAGTCTCCAAGCAAATATTTCGTTTTGCTTATGATAATTTGACTTGAAAATTAAAGCCTGATACAAAACTACTCCTCTAAAACAAACTGCAGAATTCATTTAGTCAATATATGTTGCTATATATAAACTCCAATTGTTTTCTTTAGGAACAAAACAAAAGAATGATAGTAATTTCTAACAACAGTCCAAACAAAAATGAATCAGACAAGAAAAAATCAAAATCACAACAAGGTGAAGCTTTTGATACTTCAAACTTTTAAAAACACGATCCAAATGCATAAAATGAAAGATTAGAAAAGGTACATAAGCAAGATATAACGTAAAATGTTGTACTAAGCTAGAGTTAAAAGGAAACGCAAGGCAAAAAATCCAACAGCTATGTTTGTAATTAAGGGCCATGAAATAACGATGTAAAGCAAAGAAATAAAATCATAATAAGGCATTGGAAAATGGGAAATCACCTTATGGAAAATGGCTTAGTATCTGCTTCACCATTGACACAGTTTTCACAACCCATTTTGCCGCATAGTAAAAGCTGAGAAACCGTGCGTCAAGAAAACAACAGTAAGTAGCGTTTGGATAACTCAATAAGAAACGAAAAAGGAAGGAACCCAGTTTAAATTATAGTCCCAAAAGCAGTCTGGAGGACAAACATGGCTGAAAAGTACATAAAATTACGAGCTTTTTTGTGAACAGTTGAAGACCTAAGCGGGTATAAAGAACAAAAATGGAAGCAGAGGATGAAAAAGAAGGGAGATTTGGTAAATGGGGTTAAAGGAAAGACTTTGAATATAATGATTAAAAGAGAAATCAATGGAAAGGTTAAAAGCGAAAGAAGAAGAAGACGGAATGAAAGCAGCAGGGTTTAGCAGAAGGAGAAGATAATGAACAAAGGCAAAAGCCTTATATCAAAGGAGGGTTTTGTTTTTGATGTTGACAAATGGAGGAAGGATTATCCATGGTGAAACCCAAGAGTAAATTTGGTTGGAAGAAAAGATATAGTAATTTCTTATCGCATCAAATTTGCTCAAAAACTAATGGCGATTCGCCTAGATATTGATAGGGAACAGGGAAGTTGAAGCTGGAGAGCCACTTTGTTAAAATTCTAACATTGATAATTTTTATTTTTTTATTTTTTGCAAAATTAATATTGATAAAATTAAGAAAATTTTTAAGTATTAATTATTACTTACTAAATTTTTTAATTAATTATTCAAAAAAGTTTTAATACAAAATTTATAATATAATATTTATTAATATTAAAAATAAGCTATGAAAACTTCTTGACATTCAATTTAAAAGTTAGTACATGATATCAATTAAAAAAATAGGGTTCAATTTTTTTTTCAAAATAAAAAAATCACATGAATTTTTACAAGAAATTTAGAATAATTCTCTAAAACTTTGGGTTTTTAACATAAATTTTTGTTAACCAAAATAATTTTTGGATCATAACTTAATTCTCTCATGTTAGAGAAATTATTATTAGATAATCCTCGTTATATCCTCAAATACAAAAAAATTATTTAATTAATCATTCAATGAATTTTTACCTAAATAAAAGGTTTTTGTATCAATTTTCTAATTTTACATTAGATCACACACTATCTTCATAGTTTAATTTGCTTACTTACAATTAAAATATAATATAATGTCCAAAGTTCAAATTTTTTTGCATAAAATTTAATTTAATTTTATGTTGAATTTGTTTAATTATATTTTAATTAAAATAGAACAGATTTTTATCAATTAAAATTATACTATTGTTTCAGGATTCAAGCATGTCTATGTTGACCAATATCTTTCTGGAGCGTCTCTATTATTTGACCCTTTTCAGCAATGGTCTCCGAAAGCCTTGGATTCTCTTCTCGGAGTGCCTCAAAGTGGCAAACTATCGCTTTAATCTGTGCTTCAATGGCTTCATTACTCACAATTACAAGCAACCCCTCCTCCTTTCGTCTCCAAAACGCTTCCAAAAGCAATGCCCCAACAATAACTACGCATCAACAACATTCCCTGGTCGTCTCAAGAATGCACTGCCAAGCCAAACTGCTAAGGCCACTGACGTAGCAGAAAGCAATGTCAGGACCGAAATTCCTACCCAATGGTACCGAGTTCTTTTTCTATGTTTATTACCACCGGTACTTGTCTCGGCTGATAAACAATGACGGATCTATGATTTTTTCGAATGTATCCATTTATAATACGTATAAAAAATTACCAACGAATTTATTTATAGAAAAGACGTCAGAGAAAAATTTTAGAGGTGTTTAAGAAAAAAATTTCCTTCAAATTTTCTTGTTTTCTAATATTTTGAAGTATCTGTGAACGCTCTATCCATATGTAGATCGGCCTCTGGTGATGAATAGAACAGTAAAGTTGAGGATAGTTCAAGAATATATGGAGAGGATTAGGTCTAAAAGAAGCAATGATATTGTAATAATCCGAAGTTGGGTTGATTCAAGGAATTTGGTTGAGTGAGTTCTCCAGGGTGCTCTGCTTGATGATGATGATGACTCTTGTTCTGATCTTGGGTTGAAAAATATTGCCATCTTTGCCTTTTGTACCAGGTTTTGATGAGGTTTTGGATTGATGTTTCAACAGATTCAATGGAGATAGACTGACAAGAGGGGCCATCGGTGCAATTATTAGTTGGATTCATCTGTTCTTGGGGACTACATATAAAACCAACAATTATATAATATGGTTGAAGGAAAATGAACAATGACGATCGATGCTTGCATCTAAGGGACGTGAATTGCAAGCAAGGTTTTGAAGAATTGCATGCTTTGGGGTCAGGTATTTATATTTCGTCATTGAAGATAAAGCTTCAAGTAAATCCCACTGACAAACCTCAACCGTATACAATTGAACTAAATAAAATTTTAAATTTACTGATTATTTTATTTTATCATTTAATCTTTAAAATTTTTTTTTTTTTTACCTAAAGTTTACAATTGAACAAAGTAAATCTAGACAAGATGTGTGTAATTCTATTCATAATGATTATGAATTTGAGATTAACGTAAATGAAAATTCCAGAACCATTCACCCTAAAAGCATACATGGTTATTACTCGTCAATTTCGTCAGCTTTTTCACTTTTTTTATTTTTCCTTATTGTTTATTCCTTGTCAGCACTCTGTTGTCGTAACCTCAGTTGTAGCGACAGAATTGGTGGCTCATTGATTCGGGCGGTGCTAGTGGGCGACAATACAAGGTCGGTGGTGGCGCCCCATTTAATTAGAAATTTCGTCCCATAGCATGCTTATATGCATACATGGCCAATCAAATTTTTTTTTATATATACGAAGTCACGTCTTGAAAATTAAAAAAAAATTATAAAGTAAATATTTAAATATCATAGATAATTATATAAATTAATTAAATTAATTTTGTATTTATAATCAAAATTTTTAATATAAAAAAATTATAATTTAAAAATAAAAAAATTATAAATTAACAGATTCAAACTTCAAACTTATTAGATACTATGATTTAAAAATAATTATATGAATTAACTTAATTAAATTTTAATTTATAATCAAATATTTATTTCTTTAGAAATGCTATTTGACCTACACTTTTGTTTCAATTATTTTGTTTTTACTCTGTGTGGTTTTTTTTTTTTTTTTTACTTCTATGTATTTATAAATAATTGATGATCTTTTCAATAAATGTGTCGATGTTAAGTGAAATAAAATATTGGAACAAAATTATGGCATAAGTAACAATAGTAAAAAATTTAGATGAAATTTTTTAAGTAAAATTTGTGAAGTCTTTTATAAGAAAAATTATTAAAAAAAATTAAAATTAAAAATTAAAATTAATAGATTAAACGGTGTTGTTATATAAGTCAAGCATACAAAATTTAAAAAATATTTAATAAAATTTTGTTATACTTTTAGATAAACATTTTTAGTAAACAATATTGACGTTAAATAAATATTTATCAAATTTAAACTATAAACGATATTTTTAATAATTATTTTTACATATTTATTCATCTTAAATTTTATTAATCTATCGATTAAAATTTTTATTAAATCATTTAAAAAATTTTCACTTAAAAAACTCCATCTAAATTTTATCCGATTTCTTTTTACTTCTTATTAGGTATTCATTTCTATTTTTTTTTTTTAAATTGCATAGATGTTAAATTTTCTCTTTGAAGAGTGACAAATTAAATATGTTAAACAAATTCTTTTTTGAACATGTTTGCAAATCTTAAACCAACCTAATTTAAAAATCGGTGTTCAAGTTATAATTTCTATAACTTGAATTAAACATTAATGATTTGAATTATAATTAGAATACCCTTATCCCAAAGCATTAATATACTAATGATTTGAATTAAAATTTGCAAATAATATTTAATGGATCGGCAATTATATAAATTTATTTAATTTTTATAAAAGAGGTCACAGTTCGAAATTTGAACATGTTTGCATTAATGATTTGGGATATCATCCCTAGTTATCATGAAATTTCGAAGGATTCAGCTCTGTGTTGTCTTCAACTCTCAAGGTTGGAATCTCCATTGTTCATTTTCAAACCTTATATCAACAATACTGATCACCCCATTGCTGTTCTGCTCAACTTCTTTAGGATTGAACATGACTCCTGCTGTCATGGCTCTTCAAGAGTTATTGCATGAAGCATGGTGTCGTATTTTAACATACTGCCTTTGTCAGCTTTTCCTGTCTGTAATTTTTTGGTAGCACGGATTGTGATTTTCTTTTATAAAAAAATTAAATTTATATAATTTCTAGTGGGGTTAAATAATTTACAAATCTTAATCCAACCAAATTTATAAACTGGATCAAGCTTGAAACCTAGGCTAAAGTGTCTATTAGGGAGAATCAATTGGCAAATTTGGATCAAACTCTTCAATCAGCAGATTCAACTCCAAAGTTAAAGCTTCATCAAAGAACCAATGGCACACTAAAATCATGGAAAATATTAGCTGAATTCAAGGAAGACTTTCTGCTAAGTGCCATAATTTAGGATCAGCAATTATACCATTCCGTTTTCTTTATGGCATGAGATATATATATAATTGAAAAACCATTTCAGCTGAAGAGTTTGCCGGTTCATACAGTCATTTTCAGATGTATTTGGCAATTTAGAATTCAAATTCTAGCACTTGTTATTCCTTGCCAATTCTTAAGGTGCTTTGTCTTTTATAAAAGAAGCATTTCAGCCGTACCTTTTTTTGGGAGACGAAGATTGAACAGTTTGAATAAAGAATACATGTGGGTTATGAGTTATGAGCAACAAAGTTGATTCAATTGGTAAAGTTTATCTGTCTAAACCAAAGTAGTTTTAGATTTACAGTAGTCTCTTATTGGTGCTGATATAGTCTGAAATGCACATATTTTGTCTTGATATGAAAAATTGAACCCGGATTTTGGAAAGCAAAAAATAAAGATGTGATATGAATATGATTCACCTAACTGGAAAATTTGACTGAGGAGTGAGTGGGGCTATTAGCCCCACTCAAGAATCAAATCAACAGTATGGCTGCACCCTGCTGCTGTAGGAAGATAAAACAAGACATTGAGCAGCAAAAACTCCATTTCTGAACTTGTTACTACTTTTTTTAGTTGCTATCGAAAGAAAGAAGAAATGGAAACAAAGGTGGGAAGAATAAAGCTAGGAACCCAAGGCCTGGAAATATCTGCTCAAGGCCTAGGCTGCATGAGCATGTCAGCCTTCTACGGTCCACCTAAGCCTGAACCTGACATGATCAATCTCATCCACCACGCCATCAACTGCGGAGTCACTTTTCTGGACACCTCCGATGCTTATGGTCCACACACTAATGAAATCCTTCTGGGAAAGGCATTGAAAGATATCAGAGACAGAGTTGAATTGGCTACTAAATTTGGTGCTTGTTTTGTGGATGGTAAAAGGGAAGTCCGGGGTGACCCTGCTTATGTAAGGCAGGCTTGTGAAGGCAGCTTGAAACGCCTTGGAGTGGAGTGTATTGATCTTTATTTTCAGCATCGGGTTGACATCAGGGTTCCTATTGAAGTCACGGTCTGTTGCTTTCTGATCTGCTTTTTTATTTATTAGTACTTTTTTTTTTATTTTAAAGCAAAAAATGGGTGTTTCTTTTAGCTGGGAGAACTGAAGAAATTAGTTGAGGAAGGTAAAATAAAGTACATAGGTCTATCTGAGGCCTCAGCATCAACTATCAGAAGGGCACATGCCGTTCATCCAATAACTGCTGTGCAGTTGGAATGGTCCTTGTGGGCTAGAGATGTTGAGGAAGAAATAGTTCCTACTTGCAGGTTAGCCATGGATAACAGCATATGACCAACAATATTTTTGGATCACTGTAATTCAAAATTCTAGTGTCTCATTCCTTTTCATTTACCAGGGAACTTGGTATTGGTATCGTTGCCTACAGTCCCCTGGGGAGAGGATTCTTTTCCTCGGGGCCTAAACTGGTGGAAACTTTTTCTGATGGTGACTTCAGGAGGGTTCGTTCCTATAACATCTTTGATGAATGTCCTTAAAATATTTGTCTGTTAATTCTTTATGCTTATCTGCAGTATTGGCAGCAATAACTTACATGTGTGTGTGTGTGTGTGTGTGTGTGTATATGTATGTATGTATGTATGTATCTTAGGTTTCATGTATTTTGTTACTCCAAATCCTGTGGATTATCTATTTGTTTTAATATCGTGGTCGGTATGCGTTAAGCCTTCTACAAAGCAGAGAAGCATGCTTTTGTTTACTCCATGACTTATCTTGGCCATTTCCTTAAATGTGGGCTGCTTTAGATAATAACAGCCGTGTTTTTGCGGTTCACGCAGCCTTTTTCTATGATAAAGTCAATGATTTTTTAATTGCCACAGATGCTTCCAAGGTTCCAACCTGAAAATCTTGAGCATAACAAACACCTATTTGAGCGGGTTAATGAGATGGCTAGGAGAAAAGGGTGCAGTCCATCACAGCTTGCATTAGCATGGGTCCATCATCAAGGGGACGATGTCTGTCCTATACCTGGAACCACCAAATCTGAAAACCTAAATGAGAATGTCAGGGCATTGTCTGTGAAATTAACACCTGAAGAGATGGCTGAAATAGAATCCATTGCTTCAGCAGATGCTGTTAAAGGAGACAGATATGTGGACACTGTCCCAACCTACAAGAACTCTGACACCCCACCCTTATCTTCATGGAAACCTGTCTGAGAAGATGCATTTGGTGATATGTATTCGATCTTGTAAATGATCTACGTATTGACTTAATGTACTATTGCCTTTTAGATGTTCGGAACAGTGGAGAGTTCCTATGTTCTAAGAATAAGTTCTCTGTCAAAATTATCAAATGTTGGTGTGAGTCCACAAACCGAGAAGTTTGTATCTGAAGTTTATCTTGTTGACATTGTATATTCTAAAGCAAAAAACATATGAGAAAGAAGCATTAAATAAGTTGTGAATATATGGTCCTGAATTCTTAGAAGCATTAGTTGAATATCTGTAAAATTGCTTAGCAATATCGATCGTGTCCAAATTTCCTGTTAGCTTTGAATGGTCGTGTTCTTCATTACTATTCATAACTGCCTCCTGAGTCCTGACAGTAAAATATGAAAATAATTGGGAGGAGATAAACCGCTTTTCCTGAAGTGGCCAAGCAATAGTGGCAAATGGAGTAGAAATATGAATGAAGGAAACTGCTGAGATGGTCTTTTTGGATCCATACAACACTCTTATCTCGGTATGAATTGAATCACTCGTTCAGTCACAGGCTCACATAACTAGGAATCATTGACTTCACTATGCCAATTATTGTCATCCGACCTCTTCCCAGACTCTAAGCCTCTGTGGCAGTGGAATTCTCTACACCCTTGCCATTCTAATTCTGCTATGACCGCTTACGATTTATCAACATTCTCATCAGAATGATACTTTGATTAAAAGTCTCTGGTCTCATCAGAGTGCTTTCTTTTGATCCTTTTCTGGAATCTGGAAACCTTATGAATTAAGTTCAGAAAATGAATCTATGAATTATTTTCGGCTCATTCTGCTTTGACGAAAATGCTTGTTGGCTGAGATAGGTTTTCAGCTGTCTTAAACCTCCTGATCTGGTCTAGCCAATGCCATCTCCAAAGTTTTATTATTTTAATTAGAAAGCCAAAAGAAACTAAAATTTAATGAGATTTGAATGCCAATGAAACATGGCAGCAACATATTAAATCAAAAAGCTGTGACATTGGCTGCAGCTATTTTCACATAAACCTCAGGAATACAGAGGATAAACAGATGATCAACCATCCATTTACCCAATAAAAAAATTCAATCAAGGAAAAGATATAGACAATGGAGATCATAGCAGGAGATTGTTTTCTTCACCCCTCAAGGCCAGTCAAATAAGTAATGTACTGATTTTTGTCCGCTCTTGTATTTCTATGCTCTTCTTTGTTCTCTAAAAGAATTGGTCCAATGGATGATCTCCCACTATTCCAGATAATTTCAATTTCCAGTGGTTCTCTACAGCAAAATCAACACTGGGATCTTTTCCTTCTTTAACATCTTTCCTAACTTTTTCCACTCTTTCAAGAACTCTTTTAACTGCAATGTCAAATGCATCCTCAAACCTCTCCAATCTGGACCTAGGATCTGCATATATCACCATCGGGATCAGCTTTACAACCCCTTTTCTCATAGCTGACACTTGGCCTTTCGAAAACCGAGAAAGTACCTCATTGATGCTGACTCTGCCATCTTTTATATTATTGGCAGGAATGTACACAGAATATTTAGTATAATTCTTTGGAAAGTACCATACATATTGTGCATAAGCAGAATAAGGATGGAAGAAAACAGGAATGCACCCTGCCATGATCGAATCAAAAGTTGAACGCCGAGTGTATGAATCCCCTGGAGGCTGTAAGCAAAAAATAGAGTCCCTAAACACCTTAATTACTTCAACTGGAGTATCACACTTGTTTCCTCCAAACCGACAATCAAGAAAATTGCATGTCTTTTTTGAGGCTAAACATTGGTTAATAATCTCTCCCCGGATTGAGTCATTCATGGTTGGACGTGGAGCACCAGCAAAAGAGAATAGATATCGCCTTTTTCGACTTCTCACTCTTTTTTGCCAACTGATTACCTCACTGTCGCTTGATGGATGAAAGTAAGTTGGATATGGTATGGCAAATTCATTGCTCCAGGAGCTTGATTCTATAGATAACATTGTCATATTCATGGATTCAGGCAAAGACATAAGCCTGTTGCCCCAATCAGATTGATTTCCCGTTTGTCTACGAAAATCCCAAGCAATCCTCCCTGCAACAAAGAAATGGTCTCTACCCCACATCCGTTTCCATTCAGCTTTTTTTCCAAGCCAATTCACCACATCATAAGCAGAAGAATCTCTTACAGATGTGTTATAGCCCCAAAGGTAACGACCAACATCTAGGCCAGCATAGTAGGGTACAAAAAAAGCTGAAGCCAACGATGAATCATTGGTTAAGCACTTGTATTGCTTCATCCTCTGATGAAAAATGACTTCTAGCAGGAACTGGTTTGTTTCAAACCAACTCCTGTCAGATAACACACCTTGTGGGTTTTCAACCTTAGGACCAATCCCTGAATTCATCAGGGATGGACACATATCAAACCATTTGACAAGCGTTCGACAATCCTTGAGCACTTCAGTATTGAATCTACTTGGAAGATGGTGAACATATATGTATTTACCTGAACATGGATCCTCTCTTTTCCAATCACTACTAGAATATTGTTGATCAGCAACATCCTGAACCTCAACCTGAATCTTGTCCTTGTTGCCGGTGAACATGGCTGGTGGGGCTGTAGTTTCACAAGGTTTATCCATGGCAACAAGTTGGGTAGTTTTCGTGGTGTTGAGAGCATCGGAAAAGATGTAGACTAAGGAGGAGACTCCATTTTTGGTACTAGGTAGAACTGAATAATCCAAGCAAAGCAATACCAAGCAAAAAACAAAGGAGACAAGAACAACAGACCAGAGTTGAATATGGCTCTGCCTGCCCGTGATAAGCTTCTCCATTTTTTCTCCAATTCTGAAAATGAAAAAGTCAGCAGCAGAAGACTTGGTGCAAAGATGAAGCAGACAACAAACGACTTATAGGCGGCGGCCAATAGGAAATCATATGGAGATTGTTTTTGAAACAAGAAAAAGCTGACAAAGTACTGAGATGTACTTACTATTAGGTTTAAGGAAGACATTAAAAGCAAAAGAATATTCAAGGTAAGATTGCTTCCGTTTATAGATTCTTTCAAACATACAAATCCCACCACATATCCTTCTGATTACGTATACGAAAGTAATTAATAATTAATATGTTTCCATTTCTGCTTTCTTCACTTTGTACGTAGATGGTGGTGTATCAAAACTAATAAAATCCTACAATTTTACTTTGTTCACTTTCTAATAATTATCTTTAAAAGTAACATTAAATTAATAAAATATGATATTAATAGGTCAAATTTAAATATTTTTTTCAAACAAAAACGTTTAAATTAATTTAATTAGAGAAGAGAAGAGATTTACTCTTCTTTCAAGTAAAGTTACACGCTGACCACCACATTTTATGGATCTATAGCACTTGAGAATTTATAATTTAATTGTTTGGGACTAAATATGGAGGATATCTTAACGAGTGGGTTTTTCTTTTACTTTTTTGTTAATATTATTGCTTTATCTCAAGTTCTTAAGTGCCATGGAGAATTCTTTTTATAAACGAGATAAAAAGGTTGATATGTATGAATCAACACTTTGTATTAGTTTGAAATGAAATTTATTAATATTAAGTAGCAAATGCATGCTTATACGATAATTTTTGATTATATGTTATTAAGATATAATTGAATTAAATCAAATCAGTATATTTTTGAGTTCAAGCTCAATTTGACTCAAACTCGTTAGACTTTTCATTCTTAGATCGTAATTTAATTTAACCAAACCGCCCGAACTCGACTGAAACAAAACAACTAACCACTTTGATGCGAGTGAATAGAAAGTAGGCTTCATTAGAAGCCATTTATCCAAATTTCTGAGGGCTTAACTGACTCAAATATCTTTTCATTCTATTAAAATCACTTCGAGCATCAGCACTTTACCAACACTGAGTCACTGAGAATCGAAAATGGAGGGACAAAGTAGCCTAATATTGATAAAGATTACAGGATTTTACACATATCTATGATTCACTTATACGTTATCACTTATCAGTCTCCATAGGTGCCATCCATCAAACAATACCAGTGAGAAAACTGTGAAGATGCCAAGAGGCAGGCTCATTATATACAGTTCTTCAAAGAATCTCCAGCTCCTTGGAAGAAGCAATATGAGAGTGCAAAATCAGCCATAAAAATACCAACAAGAGAAATAACGACAGCTGAAGTTGTTGATTCGCCAACACCTTTGGCTCCTCCCATGGTGGTAACTCCCCAAGCACAGCTCACAATAGATATGATCATACCAAAAACTTGAGACTTAATCATTGCACTAATTATATCCCATGATCGTAGAGCCCTTTGAGCTGAATCTAAGATGATATTAATGCTAATCCCATAAACACTATCAGCCAGAAGGGCACTTGATGCCATCCCTACTGTGAAACACAGCAGAGTCAAAAATGGTAAAGCTAAAGAGGAAGCGATCACTCTGGGTGTAACCAAATAATCAACAGGATTCGATCCAAGAACTCTCAGCGTGTCAATCTGCTCGGAAACCTGCATAGTCCCTAATTCTGCAGCAAATGCACTTCCAATTCTCCCTGCAACCACAATTGATGTAACCACAGGACTTAGCTCCCTTGAGAATGCTAAGGCCAATACCCCACCAACTGATCGGTTCAAACCCAATCGGGTAAATTCTCTAACAAACTGAATAGTGAAGGCCATGCCAACAAATGCTGACGTTAGAAGACAAACCCCAACTGATTTAGGTCCAACTCTCTCCAATTGTTGAAGGGTATTCCTCCAGTGGACTTTACCCTTTAGAGTCCTAGTAATAACCTGCCCTGCAAGGACAAGAACAGATAATCCTCTCCATAAGTACCTTGGAGGAGACCATTTGCTAAAGAATGTCTCTGGTTCTGAACAGGGTGCATGGTTTGTAGTGCTGCCTTCTTCTAGCACAGGGCCATATAGGTGGCCATCATCTGTGTTGGAAATCACAACCAATCTAGTTTTGCGGTTGGGTGTTACAAATTTAAGACTCTGACCTCTTCCAATAAAGGCAAGTTGACTTGGATTGCGACCTCCCAGTTTCATCCACCCACCATCAGATTTGATAGAGCTCCTTCTACAATATGTTTAAAGATATTAAATCTTGGAGATAAAACATCAGCTGTAATTTGATTTTGAAAGGATACTAGATTCTCAGTGTGTGTGTGTGTGTGTGTGTGTGAGAGAGAGAGAGAGAGACCTGTTAGAAAAGTAAAATATAGGATGAAGTTGTGAAGCTGTTTGCATCTTTCAGCCTTCCTCCTTGAACTTCTACAATAAGAAAACTCATGTAAAAACTTAAAGTTCAAATATTGCACCAATCAAATTCCAATCAGACTAAAGAATTACACATCATTTGCTTCCCTGAAAAAGCATTTTCTTGGAAATTAGCCCAAATAAAAATGTTTGTGCAGAACCATTGCAGGAAAAATCAACATTGTAAAACCCCCCCTCCCAAGGGAAAAAAAAAAAGATTCAAGACACATAATAAAACTTACATAAAGCTGAAATGGGTTTTCTTGATATGCTACAGCAAGATAGCAACAATTTCACAAGAACCAATTGTTAATTATCAATTTCTGCATTATTAAAGAATAATATTCTTTCTTTTACAAGTTCATTTCTTTTATTCAATTCAGAAAAGAATGAGCTAAGTTAAAGTGCTTTTGTTTTAGTCCGAATTAAGGCAACACAAATTTGAGATTGGATTGAAAAAAAAAAAAAAACAAATCAAATCCAAGTTACCCGATCAAAGAAAGTCTTCAAACTTAGCATAATTGCATAAATAAGCTCGTTAGTGGAATACACAGAAGCAAAAAAAAAAAAAAATCCAGATTTATGTCAAGAACAGTTCAAAATTCCACTACCCAATCACCTAAAATATCTAAATTTATTGGGAAAACTTAATCAAAATCCACAGCAACAAAAACCCAAACACATATTCGCAATTAACAATCTTTAAGTGACAAGTTCCTAAAGCAGATAAAAATCAAGAAAAACAAAAAAGAAACTTGCAGGAAAGAATATACATACATATATATGTGATACCTGTGATTGAAGACAGAAGGGTAACGATGGCGGTGGAGATTGGTGGCTGTTCTATTGAGCAGGTTTTTAAGTGTCCTGTTTATAAATCCTTTCTTCAGAGAGAATGGAAATTCGAATGTGGAAAATGAGGAGCAGGATTCGAGTTTTTTTTTTTTTTATTTTCATAAACAACTCTTTCACCTCTTTGTTAGCTCCAAAATACATGGCTTTGTTTTGTGCTTTTAACTAGGAAATGCAAAGAAGCATAGCAAAAAAGAGGAGGGTTTGGCTTGGCTGTCCCTTCCCTTTTTTTTTTTTTTTTTTTTTTTTCAGTTTCTACTTTTATATCTGTCTAATTATTTAAATTATAAATTTATAATTTTTTATAAAAAAAAAAATAGGATAGATGAGTTGTTCCATGGACAAGATGTATCATATTAACAGTTCAAGACATGTAATTATTTATAAAATTTAAATTCAAAATTTTTTCATAAAAAAAATAAATTTTAATTAATTAAATTAATTATTTATTAGTCAATTTTATAATTTTTAAATTCAAACAGTAAGATAAAAAAAAGGGCAATCGGATATGTTGAAGCGACTTATATGAATTTTTAATAAAAAAATTATTTTTTTAGAAATTAAAAAATTATTTAATATATTAATAATGAAGTTTTTAAATTTTATGAATGAATTAGAGAAAATAATTCTTACTTTGTATGGTATATTTAAAAAATAAAAAATTAATTGAAAATAAAAATAAAATATTTATCAAGTTTTTAACATCATTTAAGAAATTAAAACTTTGTATTAATAATAATATATCAAATACTAATTTTTTTTAATAATTTTGTTTCAATTTGATATCAAATTATTGTTTTTATTACTTAAATTATTTATGCATAATTTGATTGGACTTAAAATTAAGTTAATATTTATCAAATATTATATATTGATTATATAAAAATATATAAATTAGTAATATAATATATCATATAAAATTAAATAAATATTAAAATATTATTTTTTATAAAATTAAGGTGCAGCATTCGTAAGGTTTATGATTTGATCCATCTATGCCACACATGAAAATAATCTTTAATGAAATGATCTTAATGTCTTTCTCTTTATTTGAAAAGAAAATGACAAATTATCAAATTAATTATTTTATTTTCATATCATAATTACGATAATATTTTTTTATAATTATTTATTAAATAATTATTTTAAAAATTACTAAAATATTATTTTTATTATTTAATAAAAAATTGACACATAACTAAATTGATTATTATACCTTCACACAATATTTAGGAAACATACAATTTCTCTTCTAATTATTTACCATAATATCTCTATACAAAATTATTAAAATATCTTTTTCAATGACCAAAATATCTTTACTTTATTTGTTAAGAAAGTAACACCTAATCAAATTAATTCTTATAATTCTTATCATAATTACGAAAATATCTTTTTTCTTATAATTATTTATTGAACAATTTTTTAAGAAATTATCAAAATACTTTTTTCATTATTTAATATTAAATTAATATATGACTAAATTAACTATTATACATTCATATTATAATTACGAAAATACTTTTTCTCTTATAATTAATTACCATAATATCTCTCCTAAAAAATTAACCAAATACAATTTTCATTGTTTTATAAAAAATTGACATATAATCAAATTTATTATTATACTCTCATACCATAATTATAAAAATATTTTTTTTATATTTATTTACTAGAATACGCTCACACTATAATTACAAAAATACTCCTAAAAAAATTACCTAAATACCTTTTTTATTATTTGATAAAACATTCACATTTAATCAAATTGACTACTATGCTTTTTCTACCATAATTACGAAAATGTTAATTCTCTTATAATTGATCAAAATTATTATAATATCAACTTACCAAAATTATAAAAATACTTTTTTTTTCTTAATTAATGAAAATTACTATAATACCTTATTATCATAATTATGAATATGTTTTTATGAATGCTTAATAAGAAGTTGATATGTGACATTTTGTTGCAAAATTAATATATATTAAACCAATCCTCTTGGAAAACATTATAATAGCTATTTATTTTAATAGGAAGGTGATACATGTCCAAATTTACTACAATGCCTTTCACCATAATTACGAAATATTTATTTTTTTATAATTAACTAAAATTACTATAATAGCTTCTTGTAATAATTATAAAAGTACCCTTCCAACTATAATTAACTAAAAATTACTAAAATGCCCATGAAACTGAAATTATGAAAATAGTCTTAACATAATTAAACAAAAATTACTATAATACCTTTCACATCATAATTATGAAAATGTTTTTATGAGTATTTTATAGAAAGTTGATATGAAGTTTTTTTTTTTTCAAAATTACTATAATACATCTATTAAATTATATATTAAATTTTAACATAATGTAAAATTAATTAGATATTAAATTATTAATATATCCTTACTATTGCTTTATAAAAATTTGATATGTGACATTTTTTTTAAAATGACTATAATATTCCTATTAATTACATATGAAAATTTAACATGATGTAAATTTAACTATATATTAAATTACTGAAGTACCATTGCTATTACCATAAAATATTTGACATGTAAAATTTTGTTTGAAATTTACTATAATACTTTATAAAATTACTTATTAAATGTTAAATAACATATATTAGAATAATTTTCATATAAATAACTATAATACCCCTTTGTTTATTTAATATGATATTTAATATGATGCTGACATGTGTTCAAATTTATTATAATGTATTTTTACCGTATTTAAAGAAATATTTCTTTTCATAATTCGTTAAAATTATTATAATATCATCCTATCATAATTATAAAAATGCTCATCTTATTATAATTTATCAAAATTATTATAATATCTTATCATAATTACAAAAGTATTCTTTCTATCATAATCGATCAAAATTACTATAATATCTCATATATCATATTTGCAAATATGCCTTTTCCACTATAATTGTCCAAAATTATTATAATACTTTTTATATTATAATTAAGTAAATGTTTTTATAAATATTTCATAAAAAATTAATATATGACATTTTGATTTAAAATTATTATAATACTCTTACTGAATTACGTATTAAATTTTAATATAATATAAAATTAATCATATATTAAATTATTAAAATATCATTATCATTGGTTTATAAAATTAGACATGTTATATTTTATTAAAAATAATAAAAACTAAATGATCAAAGTAAGTTTGATAATTATATTTTTTATTAAAATAAAAAATTAAAAAATTTATATTTAAAATAAAAAAATATTTAATCCCAACGTAGAGGGACCACGCGCTACATTATATGAAAAATTTCCCCGATTTTGATTTAAAAAAATCCATCTTTGTCAATGAAGCTAGTCCGTTAGTTGTTTTGATAGCCCTAAATGTTTCACGTACCTTAATTCTCAAGCGGTTGTCAGAAAAAAAAAAAAAAAAAAAGATCGTTATGGATGGGTCATTCGGACGTGTGAGCACTCCACGTGGCGCGAACCCAGCACTTTTAAGCACAAAAATGGCAAAATCCCAATCATATGATCCAGTGAACTTTGAGAAACGTCTCTCATTTCACTGTACTACGCAAAAAAAAAAAAAAGAAAAGAAAAAGAGGACTCAGTTCCACCAAGTAGAGCAACGAAGAAAACAATGGATTCTATTTCTTTACGCTCACTCCACTTTCAACTCCTAGTTCGGAAGCAACTCAGATTCCTCCCAAACCCTGCAATTTACAATCCCAGGATTTCTTTTTCTTTACCTTTTCCGCCGGGAATCAACCGCCACCGTAGGCACTCTCGTCCTCTCGTTTTTGCCGTTTCGTCTACTACCACTAGGTATCCTTTTGCCTTTTTTCGTTTCCTTTTTAAAACTTTGATTGTCATGGCTTATATATTGTCTTTTGCTGCTGAAGAACTGTCTGAAAATGAAATTACCTAGAATGGCCATTTCTGTTTTAGTGTTTACTATGCTGAATACGTGTTCATTTAACTTTAAGTAGCTTGTGCCATTGAGAAATGTCTGAAGATGGAAGGGTTATTAGAGTGTTACTATTTATTATTATTAAAAAACAAATGGCATAGTTTTTTTTTTCCTGATTGGTTGTATGAAATAATAATCAATTCTCTTAATAGTGGAGATGACTAAAATGGGTTTTTGTTTTTGGGAGCAGAGAAGAAGAAAAGAAGAAGATGAAGGTGAAACCAAAGACTGGGCATGGCAAAGTAGGCCTTAATGTTTGTTTAGATTACCAAGTTGAATTTGGTGAACATGTAGCGATTTTGGGGTCTACAAAAGAATTGGGATCCTGGAAGAAGCAGGTGCCTATGAACTGGACGGAGGGGGGATGGGTATGTGACTTGGAGTTGAAAGGGGGTAAGTCTGTTGAGTTTAAATTTGTGATTGTTGGGAAGGACAAAAGTGTAGTATGGGAAGGTGGGGATAACCGTGTTCTGAAACTGTCTAAAGGAGGCAGTTTTGGGGTGGTATGTCACTGGAATTCAACAGGCGAGATAGTGGAAATATTGCCTATAAGTTCGGAAGAATATGGAGACAGAGTGGAGGATGATGGTCATAATGAATCTACGGCTGATGCCTTGGTGGTGGAGACAAGTCCTTTTGTTGGACAATGGCAGGGAAGGCCTGCCTCTTTCATGCAGTCGAATAAGCATCAAAACAGAGAAGTGGAGAGGAAATGGGATACAACCGGTCTTGAAGGGTTGGCTTTGAAATTAGTTGAAGGTGATAAAAGTGCAAGGAATTGGTGGAGAAAGGTACAGATGGTTATTATGTTGATTGAAATATCATATTTATGGAAATTGTTGTTGAGATGTCATAATCAATATATTTTCCATCCCACCATTGATGCTAGCGATTGAATTGCAATTTACTTCTCATGTATAATTTTATGATTTTTAGCATTATGGATATGTGTTTAGAACAATAGCATTAATGCATTTGATTGATTGCCAATTGCATTCAACCGTATATTGCTGAAATCCTTTTTCATAAGCTCTAAGTATGAAGTTCCATGCAAACTATGTTTTTTCTTTGGCCAATCAGACTATGTTCACATGCTTACACTTGATACATGTTTTATTGATGAGAGCTTAAGCCAGGCCAGTGGAAGTTGTTAAGGTGTGACCAGGTTTTGGCAATAAAGAAATCCAAAACCATGGATTATTATTTTCTTTCCATGAAGAAAATACTGATCAGTTTAAATGTATCATAAATATAATTTCAAAACTAAAGAAATAGGAATGGGTTGGTGGTGGTTGGATGCATGGAAATTTGGCACATTTGGCAGTCTGATAGCTGATAGTGTAATATGTTGCTTGTATTCCATGGCCTGTCTTCTTTACCAAAAAAAAAAAAAGAAAGCTTATATATAAAAGGCTTGTCTTTTCATTATTTTAAATCATGACTTAGATTGTAAACTTTTATCCTTGTAGGTAGTGTTCATGATTTATTTATATCTCTTTGACCACTAACATTTCTCCGTCTTTGTTTTCCTATTGCTTATGAAAGCTTGAAGTGGTTCGTGAGCTATTAGTTGGAAGTTTGCAAAGTGGGGAATGGTTGGAGTCTCTAATATGCTCTGCTATCTATCTGAAGGTTTTTTGTATATCTTTTTTTACAGTTAGTTTTGGTGTTTATTCTTTGGTGCTGCTGTTAAATCTTTTTTTTATGCAGTGGATAAACACAGGGCAAATTCCTTGTCTGGAAGGCGGGGGTCATCATCGGCCGAACAGACATGCTGAGATTTCCAGGCATATATTTCGTGAATTAGAACGAATCTCTAGTCAGAAAGACACTTCACCTCAGGTGCTCTATCGCTGTAGTTTGCTGTATTGATAGTTTTCATAGTTATTAAAACTTAATGTATGGATTCAATGGTAAACAAAAGACTTAGCTTTTCCATTCCTTAGGGTCATTTACATCAATTATATTTTTCCATTTTGTTCAATTTAAACCAAATCCTGCAAAATCAGTAAAAGCACACTCTGGCATCTTTTATTTGTTTCTTTTCATGTCTCAGAATTGATATCATCATGGCACCATTGCTCATTTCCCTAATTCTTTTGCTTGGTACATAGATGTTTACTTATATTTTGTCCATCCTTTTAGCATGGTCTAAAGACTTGTTATTGTAACCTTATTTGAAAGTCTTGGAGATACAATGGGCATTTAGCACAGGATGATAGACGTGCTTATTATTATAGTCGATTACCATAAGAACATCAGCAAAGTGAGAAAAAGGTGCATTCTGGAAGAAAAGAGGATAAGGTAATGGTTATCTTTGTCTTGGAATTTGAGAGAACAAAAAAATATTGATGATTGAGACATAGGACTCCTTGTTTACTTTATTGGTATTTTACTTTGCTCAGACTTTTCTAAAATGGTCTACTATGTTGATGGGACGTGATCTTGAGTCTAGTTCTGTCAGGGGCACCTTAGATGTAAGAAGTGGCATAAAAAATGAGAGGAGGGTGGGTGGGAAAGAGTTTTGAAGATGGATGGGTCGCTTGATTGTTGGAAAAAGAGAGTGGGAAGGAAGTTGCTATTATTGTTAGCTATTTTTCTTGGTAGCCTCATAATCTGTTCAAAACCTTAAATGATGCGCTAGCTGGTCATGAAGATCAACTTCGGGCGAATAATTGTGAAATATCAAAGCCGAAAGTGCTTATCTTGTTGTTGATTGTGATCTCTAACCACAGGGAGTTTAAGGTACACTGGATGCTAACACCTGTTTCAGTAGACAATGTGTTAGGTATTCACATGTCAATTAGCTTTATGAAAGTTAGCCTTGGTTAATATTATCTAACGAAAAAAGAATGTATTAGATATTTTGTAGTCGGGAAATTTTTTTCTTATCACCAATTACTTGGTCTTAAAACATTAATGGATTAAAGAGCTGGTGTAATTGAGGCCTAGGTAATCATGAAATTTATGAAAATCAATGGTACCATATATTGATTCGATCAAAATTGGCTTTTGGAGGGGGTACTTGGGTGTGAATGTTTTGCGAAAGGGACAGCTCTTGTTTCTTAAATAAGCAAATTTGCACATGTTTGTGAAAGTATCTCGACATTTGTTCTCAAATTAGCATATTTTACTGATTAGTCCCTTCTTGATTTTTGCATGTTTCCTTTGTTAAAGCTTTTATATTAGGAATTTAGAATATATAAGCATGTTACATGGCAGGAAGCACCAAATGTTGAAGAAATGGACAAATAATACAAATCTAATGCACTTTCAACTACCAACATGTTGTTTATGTTTTGAGTTATGTATAGCACATCAGTCATGTTGTCTTTTATTTTCTCAGTTACCTTGTTCTTCCCTAATTCTAGGAAGTGCTTGTTATCCGCAAGATCCATCCTTGTTTGCCATCTTTTAAAGCAGAATTTACTGCATCTGTTCCGCTTACTCGGATTAGAGACATTGCTCATCGGAATGATATCCCGCATGATCTCAAGGTCAGATTTAAGAGGCACCTGGCATTTTATTTTTTATGTAAATCAAATTACTAATTTATTGCAATGTACATATTCCAGCTAGAAATTAAGCATACAATACAGAACAAGCTTCATCGAAATGCTGGCCCTGAAGACTTAGTTTCAACAGAAGCAATGCTTGCAAGAGTCACCAGGAATCCTGGAGAATATAGTGAAGCATTTGTGGAACAATTCAAGATATTCCATCAGGAACTCAAAGATTTTTTTAATGCCGGAAGGTTCAATTCGAATAATTTGTATTTCTCTCTTCTACTTTTTCTTGTCTCCATTGGTTATAATTTTGATATTAATGAAAAATTCTCGTTGAAGATAGTATAATTAGAAATTCAAATGATCGTTGTTGTGAAGACATGAACTGCTGTTGCAAGTTCTGTATTTATTCCCTCCCTATCTATTTTTAACCCTTCTCTGTATTTTACTATGTAATTCACCAAGGAGAGTAGCTGCTTTGTTCAATCACACATAAAAATGTGCTTGTGAGGCATAAATACTGCTGACCCTTTAGGCCTTTTGTATTATCTATGCATAATTACTTTGACTTTTCCACTTGGAGCAATTGAGTTCTTTGTTTGATGCTTTGTCTTGATTCATAAGACTCCTTGTTGGACATTCATGCATTTAACAAAGATTTTATGTTATTGCAGCCTCACAGAACAACTTGAGTCTATCAGAGAATCATTAGATGACAGGGGCATTTCAGCTCTTGCAACGTTTATAGAGTGCAAAAAGGTAGTTGGTAATTCTCTGCTCACGGCTTTCATTTATTGCTATGCTTTTTTAGTTAGAGGTTTTTTTGTAGTGCTTAATGGAATTTGACAGAAAGTTCATCTGTGAATGAACTATGCTTTTAATAAAATACCTGGGTAGAGTTGCTGGCTTCAACCATGTCAAGAAATACCAATCTCTATATCTATTTGATTATTTCAGATGGTCATTACTGTGCCATAGATGAGTAGATTTATTTGTGGAATTTCGAGCTGCTTCAGTGAATAATTTAATGTGCAAGCTTTTTAGCCATATGAGATTTAGAACTGGGCTTGACATATGTGGCTAGACTCCTATTATGTTACTAATCTATGATTTTCCTTTAGAAGGATGAGATCTGAACAAAAACTTTGTATTGTAGCAAATAAAGGGATCTTTTTTTGCATAATAGGTCTTAGTGCATCTATGTAAGAGTAGAATCAATGGCTTTAATGGACTTGTAATATCTTCATAAAATGCCGAGGCATTTTGGGTATGCTTGTTTGGATAAAGGGGGGACTAGGTGGGTGGTAGAGTGATTTATGAGGGTAGCCTAATAAATCTTAAACCTTGATGTCTATTCTGTTTCAATGAAGTTGCAAAGACCTGGTTGGAAACTTCTAAATAGGAGAGTTGGGAGAAAAATATGAGGTGATGTCCAATCAAAGATTCTTTTAAAAGATCTTTTTTTTTTTTTTCCCATTTTGGCATCCTCTGCAGTGACCTTGCTGAAAAATTCAAACAAAGTTTAAAAGCAAGTATAATTAGGAAGTGATTAGACCTACTTTCTTTTATTGCAAATATGGCAATAACTTAAAATAATTAGATCCACTATATCTCACATCTAATTACATTGAGAATTCTAGAAAAGGAAATTTTAATTCATGTTCATGAAATTCAACAAATTTCCTGTGGCTGTCTTTTACCCAACACAATTGTCCTGTATTAGGCTTGAGACTGGTTATAAAAATAAAGCTTTGAAGGGGGGAAGGGGACAACAAAGAAGACATGGGAGGAAACTATCAAAAAAGACATTTTACTTGGGATATGTTTCTAAATAGAGCACAATAGTGGTTTCTGATCCACGTAGCCAATCCCATGTAGTGGGAAAAAGCTTGTTGTTGTACTACAAATGAAAACTTTCAAGCCATTGGAAAAATGCTGTTGTTGCAAATATATTTCTAAGTGATTAATTTTTGTTCCATTCCCCTAATTTCTGTAAGGCATATTTATATTTCCAGAGTTTGGATGCTGCAGAAGAATCAAGTAGTGTTTTGGATTTAATCAAGACAATGCAATCCTTGAATGCTTTGAGAGAAGTAATTGTGAAGGGTCTTGAAGGTGGCCTTAGAAATGATGCTTCTGATGCAGCAATAGCAATGCGTCAAAAGGTCAGTCCAATTTTCATAATGTTTAATCATAAGCTTCAAATAAACAGAAATTTGACTGGAAATTTTCTCTTTTTGCACTCATGTCATGTTTTACTGGGCATTGTTGTTTTTGCAACTGTTAGTGGCGGCTTTGTGAGATTGGCCTTGAGGACTATTCCTTTGTCCTCTTAAGCAGGTATACATCTAAATTTGTTGGGGTTGCTTTTGATAATTGTGCCTAAACTTGTAAAGACAGAAAGCGCTTAAGAAATATTCCAAATGTATATGTTATTAGTTATGTGGTATTTAGTTTAGATGAACCATTGGCATCTTAGACTGTTGTTTACATAAGATTTTGCTTAAAATGTACATGACTACAACCAAAACAATGAGATTTCTTCATACAGAAAACAAAGTGTTCAGGGAAAGTCAAGATTAAATTCCAAGAAGATTTTGAATTTGGTCATCATTGGATGTGGCTTTGGGGTTTAGGTTTGAAGCATGTACTTATTTTCTTATTTCTTGTCTGTTAATTACAGCATCATTTTCTATTTACTCTACCAAAAACTAACCCTACTAACAACAACTATCATCGCTAAATCCTAAAACTCTTAATTTTCTGTTCACACGTATTTTCATGGCATCAAAACAACCACTGAATAGCCTTTTAAACTCTTCATTTTACATTCTGAACCCCATAACTATGCCAATTATCTATATCCTCTATATAAAAACTATCCCTAAAGGATGGTATATTGACATGTGGCAACTTGGAGATGCAGGCTCTGTAAGATCCACCATTCTTCATGCGAAAGGATAGTATGGGCCTACTCCCTATTATTATTCTTATTATAGCCGTAGCCTGCACTGCTACCTGATCGTCTCTTTTCCCCACCATTTCAATCTTTCTATTATTCTCTGATTTTCCAATAATTTTGCTTTAAAATTCAAATCTATATCCTATATGTAAAAACTATCCCTAAAGGATACTATATTAACATGTGGCAAGTCTATTGCTTGCTATGTGTTATTTTTTATTGTTTTTAAATTTTTTCAAATATTTTTAATGGTTAGTATTTTAATATGTGACGAACCTTTTACTTACCATGTGAAAATTTTTAAAATAAAAAAATTTCAAAAAATTATTTACTTAATTATAATTATAATAAAAAAAAATAGGAGTTGAGTATAGGGATGATAGTCTTGTTGGCAATTATAAGACCCTAAAATGCTTTTGTAAAGAAAAAACAAGTACCTAGTTAATAAAAAAATCCATAAAAATATATCTAACTTATTAAAGAAAAAATCAACGTTCAAAATTTTAAAACTAATCAGCATATTAAATTTCAATCACTTATTAAACCAAAAAAAATTAAAACTAAAAAAAATCAATTGAAAAATAATGTACATGAAAATCAACTAAAAGATTTTACAAAAAATAATAAAAATTTTTAAAAAATTATCAGATCTAAAATTCAAATATTTTTAAAAATATCTTTTAAAAAATATATATAATTAAAAAACTAAAAATATTAGATTTGAGATTTTTTAATATATTACAAAAAAATTAACAACAATCAATCAATACAAACAGCCATACAAAAAACTCTAGATATAAGATTTTCAAACTCTTTTTTTTTAATCTAGAAAATTTAAAAACTAAAAAAGATAAAATTTTTTAAATTATGTTTTTATAAAAATTAAAAAATCCTCGTGCGAAACAGGGGTAACATTGTAGTAAAACCTAATTTTTCTTCTAGGCTCCGCATTGTTTTTACCCTTAAATCTTATTAGTTTATGCTAAAACTCCTAATCAGCCTATCAATTTACTTTAGTTACCAAATTCTTGTCAATTTGAGTTAATGCCCCTTGTCTTATACTCCTATGTCACTTATCGATGTTCTTTTCCTTGAAGGATTTGTAGTAGGCATCTGCAGTATGCTTAACATTAAAATATACTATTTATGCTATCAAGAATTTCTATTAATAGGATGGAATGATGTCATATTAATGTATTTCGGCAATCCTAAAGGGCAACAAATTGAGCTAGAAGAAACTAATAACTATATCTTGTTTTGCTAGGGTGAGTTGAGCCAGTTAAAGTGAGCTTATAACCTCTGAACAGAAAGTCATTTTTGTTGCTCATTTGTTTAACATAGAATAGATATTGTCTGCATAGTGTTCACACAATACAATTTGCAATATCATGCATGCAAAAGAACTAGTGATATGCTCAACCCTGCAAACACGCTGCTTTTTAAGATGTTATTCTGGTCATGTGCATCACACCTATTCAGCCATAAGAGAATGCCGTTTTTGCATTTGTAATTGCAATTTTTTTTTTCATATAATATAGTTTTCTATGTATACAGAACCATTGTACTTTCTAGTTTCTCATCTTTCCTTTTAGACTTTGTCTGTAAGCAATATGTTTTAGTGTTATTTTCTCTTCTCCTCCATTTCTCTTATTCATGCAGTACTGACGACTTGCACTGACTTAGGCTACTCAATACACATGAAACTATGGGAGGAGCCAATAGGCTGGCAGATAATCTGGAATCAAAGAATGCAGGATCTTGGAATAATCCACTTGGTGCCCTAATTGTTGGTGTTCATCAGCTTAGTTTATCTGATTGGAAACCAGAAGAATGTGCTGCTATTGAAAATGAGCTTACTGCATGGCAAGAGAAAGGTCTCTTTGAGAAGGAAGGTACCTTTCTCATCTTTTAATTCCTTAGTTCTGGAAATGTTTTGGAAAGTAGAACAGCTATAGGTACATTGATTTATGTCATTTCTTGGCCCCTTTGGTTTCTTATGAAGGAAGTGAAGATGGCAAAAGAATATGGGCATTAAGACTCAAAGCTACACTTGACAGGACAAGAAGGCTGACTGAGGAATATTCCGAAGCCCTTCTGCAAATCTTCCCTCAAAAAGTGCAGGTAAAGAATTTATCTTCTTGTGAAAAGAAAAGTACTGTGCTGTAGGATGGACTTTTTTGAATGATAAATACCTGAGATTGATATGAGCTTAGCAAAATGTTTCCTTTGGAGCCAAATGTTTAAATTCTTTTACTGCTAGAGTTAACAAACTGTTTAAATTGTAACCTATTCAGGTAATGTCGAATGAACTCCAGAAGGAATATGCAATATTTAATGTATAGATAGATTTCATCCTGGATGTAGCTTCATATTATAAGTACTACTTTAAATTTATAAATGAAGTAACTGGAATCTTAAATTGAAATTATTTCTTCACTCTTGAAGATGCTTGGTAAAGCTCTTGGAATTCCACAGAACAGCGTAAGGACGTATGCTGAAGCTGAGATTCGGGCAGGGTATGGTCACATTTACCTTCCTGATAAATTTCCAAAGAATGTTATGCTCCTAAAGTTTGTGAGTTTGCTATTTAAAACTGCGGAAAAAAGAAATCATATTTCTGGACATTTTAAACTATTTTCTATGTTCCTAACTGGAAAAGTTCATTTGTAGGGTAATTTTTCAGGTTTCAAAACTATGTACCATTCTTCTGAAAGCTGTGAGAAAAGCATTGGGATCTCAGGGTTGGGATGTCCTTGTTCCAGGAGTGGTTTCCGGGACACTGGTTCAGGTACCTCAATCACTTGAGTGACTGCACCATTACAATAATAGCAATGTTTACACTTTGTCTCTCTCATTCCATTCCTTGCTTCTGAATCCATAAATACGCTGTGTCACTATCAATGAGCCCATACATTAGGAAGTAGATCCTCGGTTTGTTTTGTGTTGTTGAAAATATGATAGTTAGATCATAGATGAGATACTTGTATATCATTGTCCTGATTGCAACTCTTCCTGTTAGTTCACTAAAAAATTTAACTGCAATATGAAAAATTTTTACTGAATGTTAAAAATCTTATATGTAATTTTAAAAGTAGAGAACTATTTTTTAGTTTGGGGTTTTCTATCTCAGGGTTTTATCTCTTCTTCTGCTTCTTTTCTCCCAAGCTCCAATGTTTCTAAAAAATAGAGAACTAATAGAACAGTGATGTTCTGTTATTTTAAGATCAGTTAGAGTTGATTTTGATGCAACTAGGATCTTTTATTGTGTCAGAACATAGCAATATTTAGTAATGGTCCTACAATGATATTTTTTAGCTAGAAGGACATTTTATATGCTAATGACTGGACTTAGAGTGTTAATTTTGATCGTGGATATGAATTTAAAAAATATAAATAATTCACAATTTCAGGATTTTAAAAGTTCCTTTTGATGATTGTTACCCATCTGTAATTTTTAACTGCAGCTACTAGATTTTGCCACAAGGCTTCACCTAGTAAACAACCACTGCACAACCTGCACCAATAAAAAAATACTGGCCAAAAGAAAAAAAAAAACAAAAAAAAAGGATAAAAAAGTCCTAGCATATGTTGCACAAAATTCCTCAAATTGTACCATGCAGATCCACGTCAAGGCCTCCATCAAGAATCTAAGAATTACAAGAAAAAGCTTGCACCAAATAATCAGGTGGAATAAAAGCTCCCTCAACCCACCCACCCACCCACCCCTCCCCCCCATCCCCAAAAAAAAAAGTCTTATTAGAAAATTCTGGCTAAGAAGACCATAGCCAACTGGTGGCGTTCTAAGAAAAATTATTTTCTTCTTTCCATATATCTGAACAATTATCTATATCCATTTGTTTGTTTTCATATGTTTTTACCCTTGTTGAGGTTTAACTCTGCCTCTTTTTGAAAGAAAGAAAAATTATTTGCTATTATTGACTTGTATTCTTGAGGGCTATAACATATGACCTCGTCTTACAAATGGCAACTTCCACCCTTCATCTCTTTGTTTTTATATGCTATTAGCCTTATCACTCTTACATTACTGTTATATCCTACAATAAATTTAGTACTTGCAGCCAGCAAGAGCAAGTCTTTTCTTTTGGTTTCATAAACCTATGGTAAGACTATCAACTTTGGATGAAGTTTTTAACATTGCCATCTAATAATCTGATGTCTACTTTACTATTTCCAATAAATAATGCGAAACTCTGTCCCTTTTTTTATATGTGCTACCTAATTAGCTTTGCTTCAGGTTGAGAACATTGTCCCTGGATCACTGCCATCATCTTTGGAAGGACCTGTTATTCTTGTGGTCAATAAAGCTGATGGAGATGAGGAGGTTTGGGATAGTTCTCAATACTCTATTTGGTCTTATCTTAGCATATGGCTTGTCATTTTCATATATACAATTAAAGTGGTCATGTAGTCTCATTCGATATATTTGGCAGGTGACGGCAGCTGGATCTAATATCACAGGAGTTGTACTTTTGCAGGAGCTGCCTCACTTATCTCATCTTGGTGTTAGGGCACGACAAGCAAGTTCTTGCTCTCTTATGACATTAAATTTATTATAATGTGTGATAGAAACATTGATAAAGTACATGCTTTTACGCAGGAAAAGGTTGTCTTTGTTACATGTGAAGATGAAGAAAAAGTTTCTGATATACAAAAGCTTGCAGGAAAATATGTGAGGTTATTTCTGAACTTCTCCAAAGTATAATCAACTTTTGGTCTCATCAATCAGCTTTGAATGAGCTCTATTTACCATTAAGTCTGATACTTGAATGTTTTGTTTTGTTTGCTTCTTGTTTTTGTAAAATCTTGAAGACTGGAAGCATCTTCAAGTGGCGTGAATATAAGTCCATCTTCTTTAGATGATAATGATGCTGATCCTATTGAGAAGAATCTTTCAAGTAATGGTTCATCTGCTTTTGAAGTTCATGGAGGTTCTCATGATTCTTCCAAGTTGGCTGTTAAAACTCCTTACTCCAATCAGGCAAGTTTCTCTCTTTTATCTTAAATTGCAAGAAACTAGCAATCTCACACCTTACAATCAAACTGATAATGGCTTTTCTTTTTCATACAGGGTAGTTCTTCTGCAGGAGTTATACTTCTTGCCGATGCAGACACACTAACTTCAGGAGCAAAGGCAGCTGCTTGTGGGCGTTTAGCTTCCTTGGCAGCAGTTTCTGATAAGGGTAACATTTTTATTCTTGGCACTGCCCCTTCACCATCTCCTCTCTCCCCTCACCCCCAACACCAAAAGGAGTCTTTGGTCATAAGAAATATTATATGTGAATAATATTCAACAATTTCTAATGGCAAATGATAGAGGCTAATGAAGTATTGTATAGAGAGGTTTTATTTGTTTAATAGTTCCCCTTCTAATGTTTAACAAATTCATTTTGTATAGGAGCATGGACTTTGATTAATCTTCTATCTTGTAACTTCTACGTTAATATATTGTTATTTTGCCTAATTTCTTTGAAGTTATTTTTCTTTTTGTTTCTTTATGGCAGTCTACAGTGACCAAGGGGTGCCAGCTTCATTTCGTGTTCCTGCTGGAGTAGTCATACCTTTTGGCTCCATGGAATTGGCTTTAGAGCAAAACAAATCCATGGAAACATTCACGTCTCTTCTAGAGAAGATAGAAACAGTGGGACTGGAGGATGGTGAGCTTGACAAACTATGCTACCAAATCCAGCAACTGGTCTCTTCCCTACAGCCCCCAAAGGACATAATTGACGGCATAACGAGAGTATTTCCAGGCAATGTACGCTTAATTGTTCGTTCAAGTGCAAATGTTGAGGATTTGGCAGGGATGTCAGCTGCTGGACTTTATGAATCAATCCCAAATGTCAGTCCTTCAAGTCCAACAGTTTTTGCCAATGCTGTTAGCAAAGTATGGGCCTCACTCTACACTCGAAGAGCAGTACTAAGTCGCCGAGCTGCTGGTGTGTCCCAGAAGGATGCTAGAATGGCAATCCTGGTGCAAGAAATGCTTTCACCTGATCTTTCATTTGTCCTCCACACACTCAGCCCAACAGATCATGACCATAACTATGTTGAGGCTGAGATTGCAGCAGGTCTTGGTGAAACCCTCGCATCAGGAACTAGGGGCACACCCTGGCGTGTATCTTCTGGAAAGTTTGATGGGCTTGTGCGAACACTAGCATTTGCAAATTTCAGTGAGGAGATGGTGGTATCAGGTGCAGGTCCTGCTGATGGGGAAGTAATTCATTTGACGGTAGATTACAGCAAAAAACCTTTAACAGTTGATCCTATATTTCGTCACCAGCTTAGTCAGCGTCTATGTGCTGTTGGGTTTTTCCTGGAGAGGAAGTTTGGCTGCCCACAGGACGTGGAAGGATGTGTTCTTGGAAAAGATATTTATGTGGTTCAGACACGCCCTCAACCCCAGTAACAGCTTCTATGCTATCAGGTGTGCGATCTTATAATATTGCCATCCACAGGGAAACTAAGCACTTTTGATCTTTGGCAATGCAAGCATTATTTTCATTTTTAAGCTACCTATGTTCGCATATCCAGTGTATAGATTGCATAATTACGAGTTACGGATTACAACACTTTTTCATGGAGGCCGAAAGTCAAGGGATGGATTGTGTCCTGGTACTACAAATATGTTGAGTAATCCATGTTTTGTAATTTGAAGACTGTGGAACGGTTATCACTGCACTTTCGTTTGATTGTTTTGCCGGTCAGTTTACATGCATGTGAATCTGTGCAGGGCCATCCGGTGGTGGAAATTTCAATGAATTGTTTGCAATTGAGGAGTGAACCGCATCTTCTGCTTTGAGAACAAAAGGGGAAACCATCACCTCTTCTATTGCAGATAGGATCACTGTCCCTTCTTTTGTTTTACAGTTTAGGTTGGAATAACAGCATTGGATTTGAATCCCGTTTAAAATAAATTTTGTGATTGTGCTTGTTTTTTTTTTTTTTTTTGTTGGAAGAGAAATTCGAACTCAATTTCGAATGTAACTCTTATAAAAATAAATTCTTGATCCAAGTAACCTTGTAAATTCTTAATTGTTAAAAAATTTGATGTCCATTTCTTCATTGGTATACCTTACGAATCGAGAAATGAAATCAAAGCATCAAATGTTGATGGGATGTGCTAATAGATTCATTCCTTGAATAGATGATTTCTCATTTTTGGTAGGGGTCGGAGTTTCCAAGCAAGCATGAATGTCTCCAAAGGCGGGCCAGGCACAATTGCTGCTCCAAGCCTAACCGTTGTGCTAAAGCCAACCTCATTTCAAGGGAATGGCTCGAATCGAGAGCTTAACCACTGGCTGAAGCTCACAATTATTAATCTTTCAAATCTCTAAATTTATGTATTTATGTCATGTAAAATATTAATAATTTATGTATTTATAACTTATATATAAAAATTATATTATAATTCGTGTTGATAGAAAAATTAAAAAATAAATATTTTGATTTTTATAAATATATTTTTTTAGTAAAATTTTATCTTGTATCATCATTTTTTTTATATTATTTTCGTGTTATATCATTATATTTTAAATTCTTAGATCTATTCTCAAGTCTCCAAAACCATTGATATTATACAGAGTTGAAAGGTACATAAGAGCAAAATTTAAAGCAAATTATTTCATATAATCATTTTTAAAAATGATATTTATCAATTTCTCAAACTATGGATTCCTTTGAAATTAAAAAAAAAAATGGAGAAACTGACAGACCATAAAGCTAACTTTTCTCAACTGCCCCAATTATAGAAATTTCTTCTTTAAACTTTAATAACGATCCTTTTTTGTTCCAACTGCCCTTCCTGTCAGGTCTTATGTCATGTATCAATGCCGTGTTTCCGTTTCAATGGATTAAAAAATGTCAACTAGCATCCGAAAATTTTTAGTTTAACATCATCTAAATTTGGTACAAGTTCAAGCCCACAAAACCAACTTTGAATGTGAACCTTCCTTTTTTAACTCCTACAATTTTCTTAACTGCTTTCCTCAGAGTTGGTTCATAGGCGAAAAAGAAAAGAAGAAAAAAAAATGTCAGCCGCTGTAGGAACTTTCTCAGCATCCAAAGAAATTGGTTTCAACAAAAATGAAACAAAAAATGAAGAGTTGAGAGATAACAAAGACAAGAAGTTTGTTGATGATGAAGCTGAGAACAATAATGATCACCATGAAGATGGTGATCATCACAATGAGAGTGAACATGATGAAGAAGATGATGCCAAGCTGAAATCTGACAAGGAATTGGATCTTGGTCCTCAGTTTTCACTCAAAGAGCAGCTTGAAAAGGACAAGGTATATATATTTTTGCATGAATCTCATTTCTTTCATTTTCTTATCTGTTTTACCAGGAAACTAAGCCCAAAATCCAGTAGTCTTTGTGTCCAAAACTGGCTTTGATTACTTCTTGTTTGAATTTTTATTTCCATTTTTTTGTTTTTCAAGGATGATGAAAGTTTGAGGAGATGGAAGGAACAGCTTCTTGGCAGTGTTGATATGTCTGCAGTTGGAGGTAGTTTGCTTACTTAATATAACTTCTACTACACATTTCTATCCATTGCGTAGTTTTGATATCTTTCCTAGGAATTTGAGAAAATCTTGCCTTAAGTTGGCTCTCTCTTTTCCCTTTTTTGACAGTTCTTGAGTCGCAATGCCTAAGTTTCAATAATTTATGGTTCTTCAAACTTTAATCCTTTTTTTTTTAAAAAGAAAATGATAAAGTAAGCAATATTAATCGTTTGATTCCTTGTTTGAGTAAATAAAAAGATCGACTAGGGGTGTAGAATATTAACGGATTTTATTATGGTATAGTGATTTGTTCATTAATTAACACATGTTGAAATATTATCTGTGATCATTTGTTAAATCTTAATAATTTGTTCATGACAGTTCACTGTTCATCGAATATTCTATTAATTTACACATCTGCATTTATTTAATTACAAATGCAAATTATGACGTGTCAAAGACCATAAATTAGTGGTATTCGTTCCATGTTCAATCATATATGCTTGTTACCAGATCATAGTTTATACTAATTTTAATTTCAAAAGGAAGAAACTAAAATTTATCTGTTGAATGCAGAGAGTAAGGAACCAGAAGTTAAGATACTAAGCCTCTCAATCCTATGCCCTGGCCGGTCAGACATTATCATGCCAATTCCATTTGCATCCAAGCCAAAGAGCAGTCTGTTTATACTAAGGGAAGGGAGCCGACATCGCCTCAAATTCTCCTTCATTGTCTCCAACAACATTGTCTCCGGACTCAAATACACAAACACTGTGTGGAAGACTGGTGTTAGAGGTACAAAAATATCACAAAGCTAAATGCTATTTAAATTTACTTTATAGATTCATTAACTGCTGAAAGATATGAGCATGTTGCTCCATGAAAAGTGCATGTATATCTCCACTCAAAAAGTCGAGTTCGAATCTTTTTTCTTCGGAAATTTTAAGAGATGGGTGAGTTTCATTTTCTTATTCTTGTTCTGATATGGTCAGTCATAAAACTATTTGGCAGTGGACAACACGAAACTAATGTTGGGGACATTTAGCCCTCAAAAAGAACCTTATACATATGAATTGGAAGAAGAAACTACTCCTTCAGGCTTGTTTGCTAGAGGCTCATACTCTGCAAGAACCAAGGTAAGTTGATTTGACAATACTACTTTTTACTAATTTTGTATCTAATTTTTTTTTTTTTTGAAATTGTTAAGATTTGAACTTTAATTATTGAAACTAAAAATTTAACATTTTACGTGGCTGCTAGCAAAAACAAATACGAACATTTTTGAAAATGGTAACATTTTTGAAGATACAAAATTTTTAGATAACAAAAATTAATATTCTAACAATTATATTAGAACTGGTATCACTATTTTCTTGAACTTTATAATCATAATTTTTGAAGAAGCAAAATAATAAAAGAAAAAAATATAATAAATTGGAATCTAATTGTTAAATTATTGAAGTTTTCTTTTAATTGATCAGATACTGTGGATTTTGGTAAATTCTTTTATGCAGTTTGTTGATGATGATGGCAAAGCCTATTTGGATGTGAGTTACCACTTCGAAATCCAGAAGAACTGGCCATCACGTCCTTGAAACACACCTTATCTGTGTATTTTTCAATTGTGCTTGATTTTTTTTTTTTTTTTACCATTTTCATTGTAGCTTCAGTTTGATGTTTCATTTTCTTTGTTTTTGTCTGTATGATTATTGGTTATTGTCTGTCAGTCTACATATCAGGGCCTTCACATTCCCTTTGATTAAGGTTGCAAACTGTACATAAAAGGTCCTTCCAAAGGAACTTGCTACAACAAATGGTGAAATTATTATCTTTGTGGGGATGAAAATGACAGGGCAATGGACACCATGTGCCATGATTTAGCAATGGTGGATCTTCTTTTAAATTTTGTAATTTGTATGCCTCCATTGCAAGGTTCCAAAGTAAATGCCAATTTAAATAGTGGTCCTTGTACTATAAACCATTGTCACATGCAATTTGCTGCCTTGAAGACTTGGCATGTGGAAACAATAAAGAGAGGTTTCAAAATTTTTTTTTTTTTACCTTTTTACAAAGAAAGTCGTATCTTGAAAATAAAAAAAAATATATAAATATTAAATTTTAAATTTTAAATTTGTTGAATATTACTTATTAAAAGTAATTAATAAATCAATTGAGTTCAACTCTTAATTCACAAAACTTTTTTTTCAATCATTACGAAAATCAAATAAATTATGTCAGAGAAAAATCATAAAAAAAAAATCATCTTATCTTTTATGTTCTTACATGTGAAAATTTATGGACTAGCATGGGTATAGTTCATATTAGAAAAATATACACAAAGAGTCACGGTTGCTAAAAGAAGTTCACGTGAAACATTGAACAATAAATGTGAAAAACTTATGTGCAAGTTTGAAGTTTCAAATTAGTACAAATATCATAATAAATATTATATTCAATAAAATGATGATAATAATTGTTGGTGGTATTTAGTAATCCAAAACGTATGATGATTTTTTTTTTTATTATAGATTTTTATAAATAATCAGAAACATTTTAAACATTTAATTTGATTTGATATGTCAAGTTGATTTGACATATTTAATGTCACATCAATTTGATCATATCATTGTTATCTCCTGTAAGTTTCTTATCTCTCATCTGTAAATATAAACATCTAATTAATATCATTTCAGATTTTGTTTTACCTTCACTTTTAGAATTGACAGCTCAACTCGAAACCGACGGATTCGACACGACCCAACTTTATAGGGTTGATTCTTTTCTTAAATCGAATTTTAAATCGGATTGAGTCGGGTATTATTAAGAAAAAATTGAGGTCGGGTCAAGTTCGGGTTTTAGGCAAACTTGACCCGACCTTGATATTATATAAAAAATTATTTTTAAATTATTTATTTATATATATTTATATTTTTATATTTTTTAAAAAATAATATTTTATATTTAAAAAAATAATATTTTATTAATTTTGAGTTAGATCGAATTTGAATTCAAATTTTATAATTATAAAATCGGATCGAATTCGAGATGAACAAAAATCAATCCTAACTCAACCCATTACCAACCCTATTCACCTTTTATTTTTATTTTTTTACTTTCGACCTCTTTCATTCTGATATTTAATTTGAACATCAAAATACAAATACAAAAACCGTTCTTTATCTTTACATCTAACTGTTCTCTTCTCTTTCTTATCCTTTCAAAAATACCTTTACGTCGAAATTTGGCACAAACAACAATATATCTATTTGTCTATCATTATCAAGAAAAAAAATGATAGGAATCCAATGGAAAAAAATGTATGGCTTAATTAATAAATACAATATATAATCTATTTCATCCAAAATGTTTCAAAGCACACAAGTACTATTTGGGTTTTTTTTTTAATGATAATAAAGTAATTTAAAATCATGACACTAGAGATTAATGCAATACGTAAAATGAGATTTGAATAAAGACCTTCAATTGATAGAATTTCTTTTAATAAAAAAAATGTAAGTATATAAAAAGGAAATATGATTGAAAACGCAGAATGCTGCTGTTTAGCCATAGCTGTTTGAAAACAACCATTGACAGCTTAATTGGCAGTTGGAAAGCTAATTAATATCAATAATCAAAAGGTAGTAGTTAGAAGAGTGTGATAGGTAGTTTGAATAGAAGAGACAACAATTTATATTAGATTATAACTTGTCTTTAGATGCTTTATTTAAATTTCCAATAAATTATAAAGATATAAAATTAAAAATTTTAATACATTTAATAATCATTGATGCTTGAGATTAAATATATTTCAGAGGTTTGTGGCCTCAAAGAAAGAAATTAAACCTAAAATAATTTGGAAAAGAACAATATTTCTAATAAATCTTATAGTAGTTGAATGTATATTCAAAGTATTTTAAGCGCTTTTTTTAAAACTTCATCACCTGAATTAATTAGAAAATACATCTCTTTGAATGGTATATTAAAAATAATTAAAAAAATAATTTAAAAATACATTTTTTAGTTTTTTTAATTTTGATTGTTAATTAAATAATATTTTTATTTTAAACCTAATTGAAGTCAATTTGAATATGCATGTAAAAGGAAATGATAATATTTTTAAATAAAACATGAAATAAATATAAAATTAGAAAGATTTGGATAAGAAGTTGAAATAAAAGTATAAATAGATGATTGGTTCAAGTAACAAAAAGAGTTTTTTTTGTTTTTATTGTTTAGATTCGAATCTATTACAAAGTTTGGAAAATAATTTTTTATAAATTCATTAAGTACGGCAAAAATAAACTTATTTGGATTGATCAAAAGAGAAAATACATCGAATAAGACTTACAAATTTTTTTTCGTTAAATAAAAATAAAAGTGTCGAAAGATAGTCATAGGTAATTTCATCTCAATTCTCATATACTTGATAACTTAAGGCAGATAGTTACAAGTCGTGCATTCAAAATAATCCTAACAAATAATCACTGACAGAATTCAAATTTAAAATCTTTTCATCGATAAAAATAAATCTAACTGATTGAACCAACCACTTATTGATGATCACTACATCGTTTTTAACTAGGCAAACACCACATCATCATCATCATCATATTCCATGTTAATTTCAGAGAGTCCCCACTTTCTTCTTTCTCTCTTTATCATGCCTTTCATGGCGCATGGCTCCCCTGCTTCCCAAATGTTCTTTCTTTTCCCTGCAATGTTCTCAATATCGGCCCTCCTTAGCCGAACAGATGCTGTCTGCAACTGAGCTTTAATTTCACATCCACCTCTTCTAATCATTACCCTCATGCCCTATATAATTACAACCTTTTATTTGACCCTCCACCTTAATTGCTGCTTAATTTAAGCATGAAAAAAAAAAGAAAAAAATATTATGATAAAATAAAAAGAAACCTTTCATTTCTAGATTTAAAAAAAAAAAAAATTTTGACAATGATCACGATTTCATGATTAGATGCAATGATAGATTTTTTTTTTTTAATTAAAAAGGATCCTAAGAGATAGACATTAGGTAGATTTATAATTTTTAATATATAAATTTTTATGTAATTAATTTTCTCTATACGTGCTTAAAAGAAATATTTAAACAATTAAAACTTGAAATTTCAAGTTAAGAGTGCATTTGGATGGAAAATTTTGAAATTTTAAAGAAATTTAGAATGCTAGTATTTTGAAATGCATTAATTAAAAATAACAATAATTTGTAATTTGTGTTGTTTGAATAATTATTTTTTAGAAATAAATTTTAAATATTAAAATTTGATGAGTAAAAAGTAATTATAATAAATAAATAATGATATTAGAAATAGAAAAGCAAAATATTAAAATATATATATGATATGGATGCTATTAATAAATTTTATAATGAGTTTTTATAGTTAAAATTAAAGTAAACACAAATTGTATTAAAAAAAAAAAAAGAAAATTGACTTCTTACCATAAAACCAGTGAATTTCACAAATTTCAATTCCTTAATTAGAATTTGAAAAAATTTGAACATTCCAAAATTTATTATTCAAATTTTAAAAAATTTAATAATTTAAAATTTTATTTTGTTATATAAGTTAATTTCATTTTAAAATTTTAAAAGCGTATATATAAATAAAATTTTTTCTTAAAATTTTTCATCCAATCGCAACCTAGAAGTATTGATTTTGATTCCTGAAATATATACGCTGGATGGAAGTGATAACGCCTTCAATCCAAGATCACATGATCACAAATTTTTATTTTAGTGATCAAAGTTCGAACTCTAAACTTCAAGCGAGTTGAAATTTAAAAAAAAAAAGTAGCAAGGCTTCTATAAATTTGTATGCTCGGTTACAAAAATGGAACTCCCTGAATGGTTTCTTCTGATCAAAATGAAGAAAGAAGAAAAATAAAAACAAGTGGCAACAATCAATTTTCCACCAGGGTTGCAGCCCAGGTGGTTGAGAGGGTACGAATTTGAACAATAGATTCAAGCTATAGCACCCTCCACTTGTACAAAGGGATTAAAAGAAAAATCAATTCAACTTTTTTTTTTTCCATGCATGGTAAAATGTATCAATCTCACTCAATATGTACAATAGAAGCTCAAATTCATGGATAGTCCAACAATGCAAACTTCACTTGCAAGCCAATCTTACCACCCTCATTGACCAGCTTAGCTGCAGTTACCAACCAATGTCCAGGAGCATCATGTGGACCGCGTACAACCTCAGATGTATCTAAATATTTTAGCAGTTTTTTGGAGCGAATTGGTGCAGGTGGACCATCGGGATATACACCAGAATTAAGTACAGTTGGGGCCTGCTTTTGTTGTTCAGTGACCATCCGGTGAGTGAATGTGAAAGTCGTGCTTAGATTTGTGAGGAAACTGGCCTTACGAGAAGTTTCCGGAGCAGCTGCCCACTCTGTCTTCCGGATTGTGCAGTTGGGTATATGGGTGTAAAGCAGACGGAGATGCAAAACTGTCTTTGGCCACTTCCCTTTGCTAAGGAGCTGTGCACCAGTTACAATAAAAACACCACTTGAAGCTTCTTGCAACCAGTTAGGGTCATGCCTAACAACAGATGTGCACACATTTGAGTATCTCTTCCATCTGACTGGCTCTAAAAATTGATCACTGGACTTATATTCATCCGAACCTCGCCATTGGCATGGTCTGCCTGATGTGAATGCCATTATATTTGGAAGACTTGACAGATGTTGCACGTGCAACGCCAACCGGTTGCATTTCTTTCCTTCTAAGTACAAGCGGAGGCCTACTACTGGTTTTAAATCACTTGAAACCTGAAATTGTACAGAGTATTTAATATTTAAATTTATTTTATAATAACAGAGAATTGGATGAAACATGCTTGCAAAATGTATCTCAACAAACTAAAGGATGAACTCTGATTCGTGCCTACAAATACATATATGCATGGATGGAATAGAAAGGTAAAACTACAGACAAATATGTTAGACAAACTCTTGTGAAGCCATGTCACAAAAAGTTCATATCTAAAAGATCTTTCATTCATTTTTTATCCTCAAGAATAGCAAAGTTCTGTTCGTTATTAGTTGTTACTATAAAAAATTCAATTCAAAGTCAATGTTGACTTCCAAAAGTGGTAACTCAACTCCATTTTCTACCAGACTACTACACAATTTGACCATGGAAAAAATGAATTGTTAAACATTCAAGTGCTATTGTTGTAACCAATAAAATATTCAATGCAACTTCCACTTCCAAAAGTGTAGAAACTTAACAACACTTTCTACCACACTTCCAACATAAAAAATTGGTATTTTAATTATAATGAGATGACTACATCAAACCTACTAGAACCCCACCAATGTTGTTAGTACCGTACTAACAACACTGTATATTCATTTCAAGCAAAACTGGTGCACTGATATTCATCTTACTTTTAGGATTCTCTATGTTAGCATGTTGCTCATAGAATTTTAGTTAAGACGGGTTCATATGTTAGCATAAGATTTTCAATTATCGAGTGCATTGCATGCAACAAGAACATAAAAAATAAGCACTAGCTCAATTTCCCCATTGACTTCAGGGATTACACATTTTGGCTCTTATGACTCTTCTGTTTTATGTGAAAATAAAAACATAATAATGCAGATCACAGGACAATACAATGATGCAAAATAAATAAAACTGAGAAGTCAATTACTATAAAATAATGCTTTATGTGCTGTTTGACTACCTGCGTAGTGCTGACATGCATCTTAGGACCCAAGAAAGCGAATTGCAGGGAAGGGCAAGCAGCTTTTTTCTTCTGATGCCTAAGTGGCAGCTCACAAAACATAGGTGCCCATTGCCGCGGAACTTGAAACTCCAAGAAATACCGTAAATCCTCTGGAACAGGCTTGTCTACATACAGATTGAGTGAGTTAAAGATCGTCACCATCACATAAAACTAGAAAAATAGAAAAATTATAATAAAAGCAAATTATTTGTAAAATTATTGTTAAAAACAATAACAAGGCAAAAGTCCTCTAACAGTGCAGTAATTAGGCCAAATGTTTCATTTTCCCTCAGCTTGATTTTTTTTAAAAGGTCCCTGTATTTTTAATTCTTCTGCAGTCTAGTAAAATGTTTAACACAGTCATGCTTTTCTGCTAACTCACATCATTGACATACCAGATTCAGTTTCAAACAATGGGATATGTTGCATATTTTTTCTAGTGGGGACACAACAGATAGTAAATCCCTCCCTCTAATCTCCATGTGGCTTTTGATAGCCAGTTGTTATAACAAATAAAATAAAATAAAATAAAGGAAACAGATTAAAATCAAGTTGAAAAGAGAAATTGCTTCTATGGCAATCAAACAGAATCCCTTGGATGTTGAAGCACTTTCTCATCACCAATCAAACATACCTCAAACTTCAAAATCACAAATTATAAATGAGTGTAAAAGAAGACAGTCAAACAAGTGCTTCAACTGATTTTGAATAAATAATTCTGTCTTTTTCAACAAATTTTAAATCCTAATTTAGAATTAAGAATTTTAAATAGATCCAGTGTTTGGTAAGTATCATTTTTTTCTTTCCTATGAAAAACCTGTAAAGATATCCTCGTCTTGCCCCCAAACTAGCCTAGCCAAGATATTTAGTTATATTTTTTACTGGAGAAGGATTCCAATCATCTTCAAAATAATATTTGAAGCATAATTGCCCAACAGAAGTACTGTCCATTAGTCATGCACTGCAATACTTACAACGAAGATACAAGTTGATCGCATGACTAAGATACCCACTTCCAGGAATCCCAGTCAGAAGAGAAGTAATTGGTACAAACTTGAACAAAATTCCTTCTGGCTTAGCAGGTACTGTCTGGAGCCAGCTGGAATGACTATGCAAGAACACATTTCCTCCTCTTTTTGAACTAATGATAGTGAGTCCCTATTCAAGTTGAAAACAAGGCAAAACAATAATTCATGGATTGAAATGATTATTTGGAAAAAAAAAAGAAGCAAAACATAGAGTAATACTCAAGTTCTAGACTCACATCTTTGCTTGATGTTTCTGCAATGCTGGCCAACTGCACGGCGTTTGACTGCAAATTGCGGTTAAAGACCTCAGGCACCTACACAAATTAATGGCATTTAGAAACAGTATAGGTGTTTACAAAAAAAAAAAAAAAAGAGCCCTTAAATTTCAATGAGGAGCTAATACCTTTTGTTTGGCATATCTTGTTTTTCTCTGTAGTAATGAAGGGCTTTTCCCATCTGAAAACATAACGTCTCCAAGATCCTCCAAATACCCTCTTAGCTCAGCAGTGGGAATTGTCGAGGAATAGTTCTGCCTGACACATATTAAATCTTGACCTCCGATAGCCATGCCAACTATTATGTGTGTCCCATAAGTCTGGATGAACCTGCCTAATACAATTTGTTAGATATGTAGTACAGTAAACCAATAATAATAATATTAATACGTGCCAAGTAACCAAAACAATTCTGGTTTTTCCCACTATGGGGGAATTGGGGAGCAATTCTCAAATTTTGGACATTTAGATACAGCACTATGACAGAAAACTTAGTCACTGTACACACACACGTGTGTGTAAGGATTCCCCCACCTCCCATTTTGTCCATTGGAAAATGATGTTTATAACCATAATTTTAGTAATAAACGTCTTCAGCATTCCTGCTTTAGTTTAAAATTGTATCAGCTATTATAAGAACACTACCCTGGATCAAAAAGAAAAAATAAATAAATAGATAAAGAAAACTATATATGACATAGAACAGCTACCGGTGGTTGCATAGTGTATGAGTGGATGGTTGATTAGGTTTTCAAGGACCCTAGTCATGGGTAGAAGAGATGGGAAACTATTATTGAATGAAGAAATCAAGGATTTAGAAAGGTATTTTGGGGCTGTCAGCACTGGTGAACTGTTAATTAATGTTAAGGTTGCAAGTTGATGGTTACTTTGATCTGAGATTTGTTAGAGTATCAGACAAGTATTCAAACTGAAAGATTTATGGTTGATCTTTGACCCAAGCAAAACAGGAAATGCAAGAGGAAATGGGAGGAGATCTAGGCTTCACACGTTAAACTTGCCAGAGGCTTAAACTATAGCATAATGCTGCTGATATTCCTATAAACCAGTTCTCTATTAAACAAAACAAGTTACATTCTACCTATACTATTTTTGGAAGTGCATGAGATGCAAAACATGAAACTATCAAAATTGACTTAAAAACAACTCCTAAATTAAGAGCAAAAACAACTGATAACATCAGATAAACATAAAGTGTGGTTCATAGAATGTAATTGATAATCCATAGAAATAGAATAGAATAGAGTTAATTTCCATGCACGCCATATAACTAATTCTACTAAACACAGATTCACACATTACCTAAATTATGATTCACTGAAAAACTTCAAATCTCAAACTGTTTATCCAAAATCTTACCTAAAAATTTATTTATCATTTAACTGTACAATAAAACCAGAAAACTTCATGTGAATAAACTGAATGTTTCATATTAACTGTATCAGAATATCTAAATGGGGATTTAAACAAAATTTATAGACTGTTATTAGAAATCTGCATGTTGCGATACAGAAAGACAGCATGTTATACTACAATTATGACAAAAATGACATCAAATTTTATAAAACTGAGATGGTCTGAATTAACTTTTCCTTGTAATGCAATTTTCCAATTAGGTAAGTCAGACACTTGCAGTGGAAAAAATAATGCAACGGAAAAAATAATTATGTCACAATTGATTATATATGCAATGACAAGATGCAAGCATGTTCAGTTTGATGATCAATCAAAAGGATTCTACTACTTTGAGAGCTAACCAGGTGAGAAATCTAGAAAAGTGCATTGCACAAGAAAGTTGAAAACGAGTTTTACAGCACCTTCATCATCTCATATTTAATTAGTTACACCATATTTTTTCCAGCTTACAGCCACATGATCAACCTAACCAGTTGAAAACCATGTTGGATTCTACATAACCAGCAATATATTTCCTTGAACATAGGCAAGAGTGTATAACATCTGAAAGTTTGATTTCTTAATATTTCTTCATTCATGCAAACAGCTTCCAAATAATCCATATGATCTCTCATTGATATAGAATCATTCTTAATGCCAAGAAAATGTACAGATAATATATTGAAAAGCTACCTAGACAAAGCTGCTGGATCCCAGTGAGGTGGAACAGACTTCTTAACTCTGTCATGTAGTACGAGTGGAGATGCTGTAAGGTGTAAATGATACAACGAAATAAAGTAACCATCAAAAGCAAGATTTTTAGTGTCTGCAGCATCATGAAGCCAGTCTCCACTCAAATTAAAAATACTGTTAAGATAGCCTGAAGGAACTTTTCCTTGTATCGAAGATTTCTGATTAAGTAACTCAGACATCTGCACGAGAAGTAAGATTTGGCAGCAAAGATAAGGTACAACATCAATACAGCAGCAAATAAATTTATTCAAACCTATATAAGGCACTAAACCAGTACAGCATTGAACAGAGTGCATAATCCCTAGATATTTTTCACATTGAGTCTAGCCTTTTTTTTTTCACTTTCTTCATCATTAAGGTTCTGTAGAAACCCCTCCGAGGTATTTTGACATTAGGACTTCTAGGTATATTTGTCAAAGAGTTTTCCACATTTATTAGATACTTGCTATCTCAATAATATCATCCCTTATTATCAATTAGTAGAGTTCCCAGATCATGGAGCAGATGTCAGTCAGGAACTCATGAATGCAGTTAATTTTTTTTTCTGAAATTGAGGTTCACTTCACATCTAAGTCAACCTTTTAACATCTATTTATTGCCAGCCAAACAAGTTAAGAAGAAACTTTGACAAAATGTAAACATTACTAGCAGATTGAAAACCCTTTGATAAATGCTTAAACACAAAAAAGAAGAAGAAACTCTTTGATAAATAAACTAATGGTAAATGATCAAAGGGTAACCAACTAACCATGCTATATACTACACTTTTTCTCTTACACCATAAGTAATTCTATCGATGGATTTTCTCTGTTTTTCCCACCAGAGTTCGTTAATTTTCAGCACCTCAAGGCCAGCACTTTTCTTGTGAATTCCATTCTCAGAAAGATGCTTTCACATAACCCCTAATAACTAGTAATGCGGCCTACGACCTCAGAACCTTTTTCTATTCTCACTTCATTTTAGTCAAGTGGCTAGGACTATATTCAAATGCACAATTTGCAATTAATGTCAAAGAGAAAATTATTTCCGTTTTATTTAAATATGATTCACTTTGAGCTCCAAGAAAAATACACTTGAAAACATGAATCAGGTAGAAACATCTAGATTTTGGCTTACTTAAATTATGAATCACCACATAAAAAAAAGAATTAAAGGTGGAAACAAATTGTTTCTTATCATCATTGACACCAATAACAGAGAATTAACTAGTGATGGAACTCTTGACTGAGCTGCAGACTTTCAAAAAGTTGAGTTATCCCAAAACACGCTCATGATTCCTAAGATTGTTGCAAAATTTTTATAGCAGTTTGCAGAGAAAACAGGACAGGGGAAAACCATTTATAAGACATAAAAGGCAATCAAAGAAATCCATCCTTCAGTAATCTCTACTTATTTCCTTATTGATGCCAAACATGCAGCCCAGAAGAAGAAGAAGAAGAGAAATTTCAAACAGTGAAAGTTCCATGAGTTCAATTAGCCCCTTCCCACCTTCTTCACGTGAAGGGGTGTAAAAGAATTGTTAAAGATATGTAAATACAACCCAGATTTCCTTTTCCAACTTAAAAATTATCACTAAATGCAAATCCAATCATGCAAGTAAACATAGCTTTCTTTCCAACTCTAACTTTTAAGTTGCATAAAAGGTTCCCTTAGTCAAAGGAGTTGGAAAAACAAATATATCCAAATGTGACATAAAGGTTACTTTTCATCCCAACCATTCTCAGGGCTCATTCAACAAACAATTTTGATAACTAATGTCTATAATAAAGGTGCTACTTTTAAAAAAATATCTTTTTCATTAAATTCAAGAGAATATTTTTCCTTGACTTCAACTATTCAAAACACTCATTAGCATTTCCCTTGTCAAAATTTTATACTTGCCCACCCGCAAATACCGGCAACCTTAGGACAGTTTGTAGTTGTACAAGTTGGCCATTTCAGACTCGTATTAGCTCATTATTTTTGACCCACCAAAACGAACCATGAAAAACAAAATAAAAACCAAGTCATGGGTCATCAGGAAACTGATACAAATCAAGTTTGAGAAAATTTTCTGAAATGGGTATCCAAAATAACATCTTAATTATACATTAAACACATGGAAACCCCATTATACTTCATCAAATAAAGAAAGGAAAAAAAAAAGAAACACACCTGATTGAATTCAAGAACATCAGATTTGAATCGAATACGATCGCCTTTATCAAGGCGAATATCTTGAGAAACAGCTTTGATAGTAAAAGCACCTGGAAATACAATGTCTGTTTTATTGGTTTCATCAAGCACCACCAACCTTGTTCCTTTAGCATATTTCAACCGGAAATCTCCACTTACATCAAAGCCTTTTCCCAAAGCTTCCATAGCTCTTACCTCTATTGGCTTCTCAGTTTCCTCCATAACCATACTTTTTCTCCTCCGCCCTACTCTCCAAGCTCAGAGCCTCAAAGTAGCAGAAGCAGCAACAACTTTAGAATTGGATCTCTGGGTTGACGGTTTTTTGGAGAAAGGAATAATAGAAATACAAAATTTGACGGTCAGCTTTATGATTGTAGGCCATATTAGACTGGTAACATATGCTCCTACTAGGCATAAACAAAAGACAAATTCTATTTAGTTGGGTCGATGCAGAAGCGAAGAGACGTTCGGGAGTTGAAAAAGCATGGTTTCTTTTGGTTTTACCTATCCGTGGGACTATAAAAATTAATGTGAAAAAGAGAGGCAATTGCCAGGAAGAAGGAAAGTTGTTTGTGAAATTTTTTTTTTCTTTTACAGTTGAGACATGATATTGATTGAGTATAAAATTCAAAAAATAAAAGGGAAATTATTGAAGAAGGGAGTTGAAATCTCGGACCACGTGGTGTTGACACCACGAAACCTAATCTTTTCATAGTCAACCTCGAAAACCTACTGCTTACCTACTGCTCCTATCTGCCCCACCTTGTTTTTTTTAATCGGATCAATCTTTTCTCTTTCAGTTACTCCTATTTATATTTACCGCGTTTCCTTTTTTTTTTTTTGAAAAATATTTCCTGTTTTTTTTTTTTTTTTTTAATTTTGTTTTTAGGTTTTGTCTTTGATTTTATTCCTGCCTATGTTATTGAGAGATACTCTCCCGTCTAGTTTTTAAAAAGTTTTAATTTTAATTTATTTCTTATTAAAATTAAAAATTATTATAAAATTCAAGATTCATGAATTTTAATGTTAAAAATGAAAAAAATCATAAAAAATAATTTTAAAATATAAAAAAATAAAAACTTTAGATATTAAAAAAATAATTTTGAAATATCTTAAATGATAGATCAACAAAAAAAAAAAAAAAGGCAACATAGATTAGTAGTCAAGCTTGGGTCTTGGATTTAATTTTTTGAATTTGACATTACTACTCAGTCATCATTTTAAGTTTAAATTATCCAGTTTGAAAGTTAATTTAAATTTGCATTAATCATTTAAATTTGGTTTCAGTTAATCAATATTTCAATTAAACATATTTAAATTGTTAATTTTTTTTATCGAATTGAATTAATGAAATCCGAACAAAACTTTTAAACGTAAATCAATTTTATAAACTCTAATAATACTTTATCCAAATATTTAAGATAAACACAAACAAAAAATCATAGATTATTTTTTTATATTCTTTTAAAATAACATAATTTTAAATTTCTCTTTTTTTAAAAAATACATGTATCATTAAATCAAATACATTAAACTCTTAATTTTGATAATTAAATTCTTATGACAATCTTAAATAATAAAAATATCATCTATTATTCATTATATGTAAAGAAAAAAAGGAAATTATGACAATCTTAAATATTAAAAAAATATATATTACAATCTTAAATATTAAAAATATCATCAATTACTCCTTGAAGGTAAAAAAGGCAAAAATACCCGATTAACTGATTGATGCAATTTGTACGATCATTCGAGTGATAAAAGAAGGGTGAGAAAAATCGAAAAAGTTTAAAATTGATTTGAAATTATAATATTTAATTTGAATAAATTTATTTTTTAATTTATTTTGGATATTAAATATATATAATAAATTTAATTTTAAAAATTAAAAATTAAATTAAATTAAATTATTTTTTATATTTTTTAAATTTTTATAAATAAAATAATTATTTTATATTTAATTTTATTTAAATATATTAAAATTTATATTAAAATACTATATATAAAAAACAAAAATTTAAATTTCGAAAATCAATGAAATAAATCAAACAATAATTAAATTCAAATTCGATCAATTAAAAAAAAATGATTCGGATTCTAATCAAAATTTAAAATTTTATAATACTATAAAATTATCTAAAATATTTAAATCGAATCTAATTTAGTCCGAGTTGTTATCGTCTCTAAATAAACTAGATGAGTCTAGGGAATAATTATTGTATGAGATAAATACTAAGCTCCTTATGAAATCCAAGCTTGTAGGCAGATTAGGGATATAATCGATCAAATTTGAGTCGATATAACATTAAGCTCAAGCTCAATTCTAAATTTGATATCCGAAACTCAGCTTAAATTTAATCGAGTATTTTTTTTCAGCTCAAGTTTGATTCGAGATAGAAATTGAGCTATTCGAACGTTCTTGATTAGGCTTGATCAACGTTGTTGTAACGATTTTATGTCCGCCTGACGAATTTGGAAACGAAATAAAAAATAATAGAGTCGTCACCAATCTTTTTTGGCTATGTGTAATTGGCCACCTATTAAAACATATCTTTTTAATAAAATATTAAAATTAATTAAAATTTATTAAAAGAATAATTTTAGGGTCTACGCAACAGTATGGGTTCGAGAGTCGATTATGTGTGGGGAAGGATTAGCATCCCCACAGCATCTGTTTAAAAATGGTACCAATTAACTACGTGTTATCTTTTGATTTTGATAAAAAATAATCTCATTTTCGATGTTTGAAAAATAATTTTCTTGATTTTTTATTTATTATAAATTATTATTATTTATTTATTATTCGAGAAAAATAAATTAGAACCTTTTTATTGAAATAATTCTTAAATGTTCTAGTACGTTGGTGTGGACATCAAATTTGTCCAAAAAAAATACAAAATACGAAATACAAAAAACATACAAAATACGAAATACAAAAGAAATATACCAAAAATAATACAAAATACCAAAAAATATACAAAAAAATAATAAAAAATAGAACAAAAAAAAAATCAAGGGTGGTAGTGGTGCTTTCCCCAACACCACTGCCACCAGGCACTACACCCTACCCTTCTGACCACCATGCCCTACCCTCCACCCCTCTGACTACCATGCCTTACCACCCATTCTCTACCATTGTCAGATGTTACCAAAAATAAATAAAAGAGGCATGGGCTCGTGATTGCACCCCCATGCCTACCCCTGTGCCTTTCCCTTAGGCACAGGGCAATGCCAGAGCTCTATAAATAGAGCTCATGGCCAAACAACAAAAAAAAGACAGACAGAGAAGTAAACATTGCAAAAAAAAATAAAAAAAACACTGTAAAAACTAAAAAAAAAAACACAGTCCTCATTGTAAGGAGGAACCCAACGCCTAGAGCTTCGTGCACAAAGAAAAAAAAGGGGTCAGTTTAAAAAAAAAAGTCAAAATACAAAAAAAAATAGTTTAACCAAAATTTCAAGTTCAAATCTGAGAAATTTTGGACTCTTTTTTATAAAAGGGGGGTTGGATTTGTGTTTAGGGTGTTGAATAGAACATTTTAGATGATTTTGGTTTTTTTCGATCACCGACGACGACGGCGGCGGTGACAGCAACTGGCCGGCACCTACGTTTGGCTAAAGAAAAAAAGGGTTTTTTTTTAAGAGAAGGAAGGAGAATGGTTGAAAAAAAATTGAACCTTTTATATAAATGGTGAAAACCAAAATGATGCCGTTTCAATAATGTGAATTTCTAAAGTTAATAAAACATAGAGAGTATAGCGTGGTAAAACAGCTTAACAAGATGCCAATTAGAATTTCACTACTGTCATTATTGCTCAGTTCAGAGTCATATCGTAATGCTTTACTTAAGGTGCTAAATCAAGCATATGTGTCTCACAATGCTTCTGTTGAATATGTGGAACAATTTGTTAGTAATCTGACAATTTTAAATTATATCTCTTTTAGTGATGAAGAGATTCCTCCTGAAGGTCGAGGAAGTACTAAGGCTCTTCACATTACTGTAAAATATAAAGGTTATATAATGGCTAAGGTTTTGATTGATAATGGTTCATCTATCAATGTTATGCTTGTGACTACTTTAACAAAACTCTCTATTGATGGATCTTATATGAAACCTAGTCATATAATAGTGAGAGCCTTTGATGGAACCAGAAAAGAGGTGTTAAGAGATATAGAAGTGTCATTGCAGATTAGCCCATGTACTTTCAAAGTGAAATTTCAAGTTATGAACATTTCTCATTTATACAGTTATTTATTAGGTAGGTTGTGGATCCATATGACAGGTGTTGTTCCATCCTCATTACATCAAAAAGTCAAATTCATTATTGAAAGGAAGCTAACATGTATGGCAGGAGAAAAAGATTTATTGGTAACTCAACCAATAAATACTCCTTATATGGAATCAGTAGATGAAGCTCTGGAATGCTCTTATAGATCCTTCAAGATTATCAATGCAACATATATAGTTAGAAGATCTAAATTGTGTTCACCACACTTATCTACGACAACTAAAATGGTAGTCAAATAACTTACCAAGATGAGATGGCGACCTGAAGCCGGACTTGGAAAGAACCTGTAAGGAATAACGAAGCCATCGACCATATATGAAAAGAGAGACAGATTTAGCTTGGGATATAAGCCAACAAGAGGGGACAAAATAAGAATGATGAATGAGAAAAGAGATAAGAGGATAGCTAATCTTAGGGGATATGACTGAAGTCAGAGCCTATGATCATTCCATACCTCTATGATTCTTTTCACTCGAGAGGATACATTTATCCAGATTTACTAGGAGCCCTAAGTACAAAATTCATGGAAGAATTTTCAGAGCTGGCCATTCAAATGGTGGATGATAGAGAAAAGAAGAGTCGAAGTGAAGAGCTGTTTGTGTACCTTTGTCATCCAGATTTTGAGCTGGATAATTGGAAAGTTACAGAGTTACCTATTGTCTTTAAAACTTTGA